CCGGTACGAGCCACCTTAATGAGTTCAGTAATACTGACTCTCGCTATATTTTTTCGAAAGAGAATGAGTTTCATAACAGATGAACGATAGACCGAGTAAATTCACCGTGTCTTTAAATTTGACAACAAATGAACAGAAAACCAAGATGTTAAGTGGTAGTTATATTTTGGTATAAACTATACCATCATCAGATTGAAAATACATACAAAATTAGGAGCTTAAATAAACTGGCCAGCAAGATGTTGGTGTTGGTTCGGAGACAAAGTTTTGTTAACACGGCCTTTATCACCAGCGCGTTAAGCAGAATTGTGAGGGGGTAAGCGATGCTGTTGATGAGGATAGTGACAACGTAATAAACGTCCGCAGGAAATTACCCGTGTTACGTTCTGTAGCAGTCATCTTTGTAGCGATTTCAAATCAAACCTTGATGCTGTATGTTGAGTTATATACTACAAATGAAGATAATGTGAACCTCTTGCGTAAATGTTTTTAACTAATCTTGGATGCTTTTAGGAGGTACTCGACTCTAGTGTGCATGTGTTTCCACTTGACTTTTTCTTGGACTTAAAATGTAATAATTCATATCAATTGCTTGAATCCCTGGGACCAAAATTCAATATTTTCTATGCTACTTTGACCTAAATCAGCAGCGAAGGTTACCCCTTAAAAGGGGTCAACTGAATTTCTTAGACTAACTTACAGGCTTCTGTTAATAGTTTCAAGTTTTATCTAGCAAGTTTCCTTTTCGTGTAATTGATGTTTAGTTTATTTTCAAGAAGGTATTAAATCCAAAATTTTCTCTAAATTGAGCGGCTATTTTGAAAGAGCATCCAGAGGTGAATGGAGTGATTACTTTTTGAAATTAGGTTGTTTGAGCTCCTCGTATTACTTTTTCTTCCATCGCGGTTACTTTGGTTTGGGCTTTTTTAATCTCATCCGACAACAGCTTCGGATGAGAGCAATTACCATTAAAATATCTGACTTATAGCCATGTAGGCTGAAAAGAAGCTTGCACGAGCTTTTAACGTAAAGGACAAAAGACTTCACTTGCCACAGAAAAGCTGGGTTACAAATATTATTACACGACTCGGGCAGTCAGAGGGCCAAGAACTAAAATCAACCAATCAAAATGCTCTATTGCCGGTCAATATTCTCAAAGTATTGGACCGCGCACTGTCCCAAATGGTCCCGAATGATACCGCACTTGTATCCCTTTGAACTTCAGTCGTATAATAAATCTCTTATTAACCAAGCTTGCTCGGGGGGACCGTACTGGAAGAATATCGGCCCTCGGTCTTTTTTGTACGGACCTCGCTGCGCTTGGTCCGAACTGTCAAGACCTCGGGCTGATATTCTCCCAGTACGGCACTCGCGCTTGGTTAATAAGATATATATATATATTGGTATGACGCCAAAGCAGAATATTTCCTCAGATAGATAAATGGATGTTTTATCCTTTTGAGGCAAATATTAGTCGGCGAACGACAAATAATAAACTTTACAGCTGCGGAATACTTATAAAGCACTATTAGGCGAAAAAATCTCCGGAAGCAATGAGTATCGCGATCACTTGAATTGCTATCGCGATCACTTAAATTGGGAGTTGTGGGCCAAAAAGTCATTCTTAGGAGATGCTTAAATTTCTTACTAGTCAAAGCAAGCTAGGTAAAACACCAGATTTCTCGTACCCTTTCCTTCCTCTGTTTTCATAAATGAACTCTAAGAGACTGAGTTTATCCTCAGCCTGTTAAAATTGACCCTGCGGTAGAGTTGACTGAAAATGGCTACAAATATTATATTTTTTTATCTTAGACATTGGTGCAAATGATCTAATTTGATATTTATCTCATCTCCCAGGTCTGAGTTTGCTTAAATATAGATGCGATCGCTCCCAATCTTCTCCATAACCACCCCCCTTAATTATTTTCCGACTTCGTTATCTTCTTTGTCGTGTAACCAAATTTATATTACTTTTGTGGCTGCCTTAAACTCGTATTTTGAAAAGAACACAGATTGTGCATCCAGCTATCCAGAGAAGAAAGGAAATTTGGCAGAGAGACTGAAACTATCTTGATAGTTGTTTATGTACACTGTGCTTACGCATTTTACATTCAACCGATAAACAAAGCTCCTAAGAGATTCAACCATAAGATGATTGAGTTTTTCACCCGAAGACTTGTTATGATTTCTGCGTGCAACAACTATTTGAAGTGAAGTTGTTGTTAAGCCGCGCGATTTTTCTTGGTTCCTGCTGTCTTTTAAAATAACATTAATGAGTTATTACTATAATCTTTATCCAGAGTGCGTCCATTTATTACATAGTTTTCATATCGGACCAATAGTAGTATATGTAGTGAAATACAGTATATGTTAAAACGTGGGATCGAACCAGCAAAAAATCTATTTGCAATGATAACGAGGGCTCAATGAAAACCTTTCCCAAAAATGGTCAATTCATCCCTAAACAGCAAAATCGCCGCTCCTCAGGTCAGTGCTAAACAGCACGAGTCAAAAGGATTTCATTTAACCAGAATCATTGAATTCGCAGCCAGAAGAATCTCAGGGTCATTATTTTGCTGGGAAACAGAGATATGTTATAGATTACCAGCCAGCGTGACAGTATAACAGTCAAATTCCCAGGAAAACGAAAAATTTCCCTCGTAAATGTGCGTTATTGACCAAGTAGGAGGTCAAAATGGCTGGTTATAGGCCGATTTTTCTTTTTATTTTGTTGGACCGAGACAAATTAAAGTCGAGGTCCACAGAAATGCAAAAAAAGACGGGACTAATATACAGCCATCTGGAACGCACAAGTTTGATCAATAACGAGTTTATTATATTGAAAAAAGATTTCGCTTCATTAAGAATTAAAAATGAATTTTTTACCTCGACAGGGAAAGAAAGCCAACTGTGTCTGAAACACAATAAACTCACGAGAGTCGCCCCTCTTTTCTTTTCTTTGACTGCCTTATGTCGATTTTTGCTTCTCCATCGCCGACATTGTCCAAGAATTACGAACTTTAAGTAAATTTTTTCGAGCACGGGATCAAAGAGACAATCCCGAGCGGGCAAGGCGGACCCATCTTGCCCGTTCGGGTAGCCAATCAGAACACAGAATTCATATCGGTGCCCTCAGGAGCTGCCAGCGATGTAATAATTATTGAGTGATGAGACAAAATTTTTATTAAGGCCCTATGCCGTATTAGTTGTAGTTTTTTTTACTTAATAGACACCGCCACTGATTGTAGCCAGGAGCCCATGCTCCTGTTGTAGCTTATTTCTGTACGATTGCATTCCATGAAACACTTTACTTACCTATTACACTTTGGATGAAGGCTGGAGAAAGGGCAATATATCACAGTCTGCGTGGTCGGAGTAAAGCAACAGAAATTGAACAAACAAGGATTTAATGGAAATTTAAATGCAGACCTCCTCGTTTACAGAGATAGATTTCTGTTAGAGACACCTTAAGATATGATTTACGTTCGGATGACGGCTTACTCCTTGCTCTTACAAGGGCAAAACATGAACGATCTCCGGGCTCTATCGGAAACACCCAATCTTTAAACGAGTTTAAGGAAACCATTTAGACTTTTTTACTGCAAAAGCTTTTTAATTCTTTGTATCTAATTTTTATGTTTTTACATCTTCTTAGTGAACACTAGTATTTATGTAGAGTTGAATTTTTAACATTTAATTGTAATGGGCAATTAGAAATTCTTATATTGGTAACTGCGCAATACAAGTCTAGAAATTATTATTAGAGAGTTAACAAAAGGAAATGTATATTGTAGTTAAATGTTATAGATACTGTATCGGTATCGTTTCTTTTGATTTTTTTAAAAGTTTCCCTAGTATTCACTATACCACCTACAATCAATCCTGGGATTCCGCCAATCCCACCAACAAAATTTGGCGGGATCCTTACAATCCCTGGTGAGATGTTGCCTAGCCCACTTGGAATCCTCTCCACATGTACAGTCCCAGATGGGATTCCAGCTGGGAATATTAAATATCCTATACAAAAATTGCAATTTTAGAAACATCAGATTTATTTCCGAAGAAAATTTTCCTAAATACAAACAAAAATGATGCAAGGAAACTTCGGCGAAAAATCTATTTACAAGAGCGAAAAAAAGCTAAGGATCTCAGTTCGCGCATTAGGCATCCACACTGCCTAGGGATTGTATGTTTGTAACCATACATTTAACAGTGGCTATGTTTCGTCTCTCCATAGAGTTATATCATCACGTTGAAGGCTGACTTTTTTCTGTTATCTTTGAATGTCATAACTGTGAACTCGCATGGATGGCACTAAAAGGATTAGGGCTAGGATACTCAAGGATTTACTTGTTTTCCAACCTAAAACTGATATCATGTGTTTTATAGGACGCTTTCGACATCTCTGATCCTTGCCGTATTAAACAGACGCTTTCACTAAAATTCAAAATGAAGCTTAAGGGTATTGGAAGCTTTTTCATGTTTTTCCATTATTTAAACAATGGAGTCTGAGTACCCATTTAAAAGGTTTGCTTGACCCACTTTATGTTTCCGGCCTAAATTTTCGAGACCCTTTCTTACCTCCTCTTCATAATTTTTAGAGTTGCACGGCACAATGTCCATTTGCAATTTATCAAAAACTTATGACACGTTAAGAACAAAATACCTCTCAGTTATTTGTGTTTAAAAACAAAATATATCCGCCTTTGTCGCGAAAAGAAGTGTGCACAAATGAAGCACAAACTGTCATATGTCAATGCGCAGTTACGGACATGTCACTTCACTTCCATAAAGTGTTGACAACCAACCACATTTAATAATTCTTTTAAAGTTTTTATTGGGAGAATAATACTAATAATCACTTGTACATTATTTTAAGTGATGAATTCAGCGAGGGCAACTTAGAGTGGAATAATGTCAGATCAAATCAGTCAAGCCACCAACTTCAGGTAACTTTGCCTTACTCGACCTCAAGGAGTAATAAGTACTTTCAGCTGGAGATGGCCGATTCACTTGAAGAAAACTTTTTAAACGTTACAAATATGACCAGCAATGATGATGATGGAAAAGAAAGTGGTCCTCTGTTGGTTACTAACATCATCGCCATCATTATTAACGGCATCACTTGTCCTTTCACAGTTTTGCTTAACGTGTTGGTGATAACGGCCGTGAAAAAAAGACCTCGACTCCAAACCAACAGCAACATCTTGCTAGCCTGTTTAGCAGCGAGTGACGCTCTAAGTGGTCTCACGGTACAGCCATCGTTTATTCTTTGGAAAACATTCCAGTTAATGGCTGCTGGTAACAGCGACAGATTTCAAAATATCCACACAATGTTACTCACTGTATTGGCAATGTCATCTGTGCTTCATCTGACGTTCGTCACTTTTGAACGACTTTTTGCGATTAAATTTACAATGCACTACGCGAGCGTCATCAACGAGAGGAATACTAAGACAACTGTGACTGTTATTTGGACCTTAACCTTTATTTGTGGGATCATTTTGCAGTTAAATTTCAGATTGGTCTTGGTTTTTGGGACAATCTTGCTGAACGTATGCTTTTCTTTTATTGTTTGGGCTTACCTGGTCTTGTTCCTTGAAACACGACGCGTAAAGAAACAAATAAAAACTCAACAGATACGTCAAGATCAAGTGAAAAAAATCGTCAGCGATAACAAGGCGCTAAAGACGACTGTGTTCTTACTTGGTGCCGTTATAGTTTGTGTGTTGCCAGGCTGTGTCCATGGTTTCCTACTCTTAATTGTAGGTACCTTACGGCAAATCAGTGCAAGTTTAAGTTCGCTGACTCGAACTTTCCTTATGTTGAATTCTCTTGTCAATCCACTAATCTACTGCTGGCGACAGAAAGAAATGAGGAAGTTCTTATTTGGTTCAAGGGCTCTGGTCGAACCAAACGTACAACACATACCCTGATCCTCACAGTCAGATATTCATCTCGTCTCGATAACTTAACCTGACTATTTCTTCGGTTTTAGTCAGTTCTAGTTCATGGAATAAACTTGCCGATGTTATCCTTGATCAAATGGTTACACGTAAAATAAAGAGTCAATGTACATTGACGCGGATAAAGATTACTAATAATGAATTTCCTCAAACTTTTGTTATCGACGATCTTATTAAAAATGTAATTTCTGATACATCAGATTTATTTCAGAATAATTATTTCCTAGATATAACAGGTCTTCTTTTAGGAAATATCTTAGCATTGTGCCGACACATTCACTAAAAGTCATATTGAAAGTGATCAGGTACGTTTTTGTTCCTTGTTGAGAACTTTTTACACTATTCTAGCCGAGTAAAGTGGACTGAGTACACATTCAGAAGTTATACTTGAACTACTTAATGTTTCCGGCCTCAATGATGTACACCTTTTCCTACCTCTTCTCAATATGAGAGAGTTGCACGAAACAATGTTCAGTGAAAAATAAAGAAAAACGTGCAAAATAGGAGAACGAGATGTTTATTTAAAAAAAGGTAGGAAGCCATAAAGATAACGTAATCGTTAGCTTTTTTTCGCGAGCTTTTTTTTTTCTCAGTGCACAGAATTAACTTGCAAACTGTCTACAATGACGAATTTTGTTATGGTTTTGAGCAGGAATGGGGCGGGCTCTTATTTTTGGGGGAGGGCACTTATTACCTTAAAGCGTGGGTGCTCATTTGAGGAAATACGGTAATGACTTTGAATTTAGTTTAACAAAAAAAGGATTTGGTCCAGGATGCTTACGGACAATGGCTTAGCCGTCATTGACCAAGGAGAAAGCAGTATTGTCTCGAAAGTGTCGATCCCTAAAAACGTAAAAAAGAACTTGTCTAATATCCAGCCATCGTAACCTTGCACCTGGTCAATAACGCATCTATTGGTTGAAGTACTACCGGTGTTTTCTTCTTTCGAGATCGATGCGGGCGATGGTAATGAAGTTTTAATAATGATTTGTTATAGTTTAACTGTTCCTCGATGGATGAAACGTCACTGCGAACAATGGAAAAAGGGAGTTATGCTGCAGTAATGAGCCCTCCTTATTAATTCATGGTAAATATTGCTTCTTTTTCAGCTTAAATTCGTGTAATGTTTGACTATGTACGCTTCGCAGACCTGTGTTCGCTGAGCCCGTAAGCATTTATTTCTTTTGCGTAAGAGCCTCGCGCATGCGTTCCTCAGCATAACAACATGGTGGACACACAGGAGCTCTGCGAAGATGGCTATAGATTGGCAATACAGGCGGTAGATTTGGACAAAATGGGCAGCGGTAGTGCAGCTGCTTTTTTCTACATTGAAGCGGCAGAAGCTCTCATTAAAGCATTATCATATGATCCCAGTTTAGAAGTAAGAGATAAAGCTTCGCAGTATGTCAGGCGAGCTGAAGAACTCAGAGCGCTGGAAGAAGGTAAACTTCACACAACTTTACTTCGATCTTATGTCGCCAAAAAATATATTTAAGTCTTCATTGTGGGCGGAACGTCTCTGGTTGATATTGAAAAGGTCAATTTATATGTATCCTCGGAGAGGAAAATTATTTGTCGTTATTATGTTAAAATAAATGCATATATACTTCCGGAATTTTTAAGTACTTATTCGCCTTTTTCTATATTTCGGTAACTACACTCTATACCGTCTGAATTAAAGGATGGTAGACACATTTTTAATATGTTTGAATCAAGATCAGCGTTGCGAACCATCAATATTATAACAATGTAGTTAATGAGTTTTTCTTTGTAGTTTTGCCAGTAGAGATCAGACAAGGTACCGAAGAGTTTGTATTGTAAAGATTTCATTCCAATTTAATGATTTTCAACTTTGTTTCTCCAGGTTCATCCAGGGCACCTGCTTCTTTCAAAACTTCCCAGCAGGCAATGGAATTATTTTTGATTAACTGATTTACGTGTATCATTTCATTGTTCAACTAGCCTTTCTTTGCATTCTGATAACCTCAAGGAAGATAGGGATATTTGAAATAATTTCCATTTAATATGTGTGTAGAATGGTGTGGAGAGAGCAGAATTTCTTCTGAAGCAAGCGCTCTATGAAGATGAGAGAGACAGACCCAGTGATGCTCTTCCTTTCTACACTGATGCAGCCGAGCTTTGCATCAAAACTGTGAGTTGGTATTCCATTAGGACTGAATTGGCCTTTTATTGGAATTACATACTGTTGTTATAATTGATTTAAGTATTATAACTGTTATTTGCTTATGTTTTAACACTGTGAGCTAATTGGTGGTGATCTTTTCTTCTGAAGAAATCAAGCTAATTGTCTTTTCTTTATTGAATGAGTAAGCTTTTCTGTAGTGCAGCAATGATTCCTGCAACTTGTGTCTTCCTGACCCATGTATCCAAATGACTACCCACAGTTCCAAGTACAGTGGAACCTTGATTTAACTAAGTGCAGAGGGACTGGGAAAATTGGTTCATTATATCAAGGGTTCGTTATACTGTACATTTTACTGTAACTTTAGCAGGGCTGAAACTGAAATGTCATTCACTTATATAGCGAGGACTCTATTATGTAGAGGTTCATGAAATCGAGGTTCCACTATACTTCAAGCATGAATGGGATCTTTTGAATTTATGATACGAGTCAGATTCTGGTCATATTTTTCATGTATCCTCTCTTATTCTTTTTTCACCATCCATTTGTCAAACATACAGGGCTTCCTGCTTTGTCTTCTTGTTCATCCTGCTATTAAAACTATTGACAACTAAATCACTAAATACTGTATTAGATTACTTCAAATGAAATTCATGGCACGACAGTGAATGCTATGTGTAACTCATAGCTGTTGTAAAGTGGAATACAGAGATCATGCAAGTGTCAGAACACATGTTGTATCAAGGTGCCATTCCATACCAAAAAAAGAAAAAGGTTGCAGATTTGAGTTTGCTAAAATTAAGGTTCAGTTCAACCATCAGTTGATTATCAGACATAATCTTATGATTTACTGGTAAGGGTAGCACACATTATAAAGTACATCTGTTACATTCTTGATTCATGATTCATGTACAAGTCAATATGTACATATAATGTGTATTTTGTATGATTGCCTTTTAATTTGTAGAGTGGTAGTCTATCAGATGGTGATAATTTGAAGAAAAAACTTCATGGTCTTGCTAAGCAAGCAATAGAGAGGTAAATAGTTTCAGATTCAGTAAAACGAAAGTAATATATAAGGGTATTTTATATCGCTGTTGTCCAAAATTTTCATTAAACTTTAAAAAATCTCTTCTACATGTATACATTATACTTGCACATCTAATAGTTTTTGATAACTTTATGTGGTAATTGCCAAACCATGTACTCCCTTCATTCTTTGATTTCACTGTGGGCCTTCAATACCCAATGGTGAGGTTTAGTGAAGGATAAACTGCATAATTTCAAGAGTACGTGTAGATATTGGTATATAAAGTATACTAAAAATCTTACACAGGCTTTGAATCCTTTATTCTCAGAGCTGAGGCAATTAAGGCAATATTAAGGACTAAACCAGGCAGTGCTGTGTCAGATTCAACATCAATCAGTAGAGGTGTGAAGGACCTTTCCCTAATGTCTTCTGGAGAATCAACCCCTGGGGCAAGCACTGGGGAAAAAAGACCTCATCTTACAGCCAAGGAATTGGAGGTTTTAAAGTAAGAGATGTTAATTTTATCTGATGTATAGTTCATAATCATGTTTTATCTTTCATGTTAACCCTTGTTTAATGCTGTATTGCCTTTTTGTGCCTTCTTTACCTTTCATCTACACATTGGTGAAGTTTTGGATAAAATTTTAGCTACAAGGATATTTGTCTGCCACTTTTACTCTGTAAGTTCAAAGAGTTTGTTCCCCTGACTCAAGCTTAAGGAGTGGAGAAATGTTCTTCTGGAATAAAGAATCATTGAGAAGAAGTTACATGTAACCATAGTTATTTTCTACAATTTACCTGAGGTTAATTCTTTGGCGTCTGCCCCAAAAATAACCTTTTTCATATACTTCAATTTAAAAAATCATAACTGAGTGCAGGGCTAACCAATCTTACCAAGTTATACATCATATTAAAGCTTATTAAATGAAGATTGTCAATTAAAAAAAAATTAATTAATTTAATAGAATCTTAATTATTTTTGTTGACAAATATAATAATTTTTTTGATTATGCAACACACAAAAATACATTTGACACCAAAAAAGGTGTATTTATTTTAAAATTACAAAATATCATCCAAGAAAAAAAAGATAGAGAATTATTTGATAAAGCTATATACAAAGAATCATAAGATTATATTGAATCCTGACAAAGATATCAAAATTTTTCTAAATGGTGCTGAAAGTTAAATATTGACATAAAGACTGTACACAAAGCTAGCATGGTTTGTACTATGATAACATCATTTATAAAACTGGAAATGGACTGAAATCTCTCAAAAGGGTTCATTTGTAAAGGAAAAATAGTTTTCAATGGCATAATAGGTTATATAATTATTATCATGAATTATTGCTATGTATCATATTACGAAAACCGTATGTATACTGTAAAATGTGAAATCAATCTAAATTCAAAGTTCAAAAGACATATGTATACATATGCATGCTATTTATGATATTCTTTGGAATGCCAAGTGGAAAAGCAGTTCTTGTCTGCAGTACAATGCAGGTAAACCTGGCATTGGGGTGCTGAGCACCTCGATAGCACCTTGAGTTGTTTCTTATGCAAAGTGTAGCAAACCTTGCAATTTCTCTTGGTCTTTGTAAATTCTGGTAGGTGAATTGTTTCAAATTCACCAGGCTGCCTTTTTGGTGGTGCAGACACAGGGGGATTACCAAATTCTTCCAGACCTGCCAGTTGCCGTACCAATTCCTCACGAAATTCTGCAAGGGAATATCTCTGTGGTCTTTTGAGCAGCTCATTTTCTGGATATTCAGCACGATGGATTTGAAATAAGATATAGCTGTTGACAACTGCAATATCCACCATGTGGAAAAGAAGAATTTTCCACCACCTCATGCATTTTCGAATTGCATTGTTTTTAGCCAGTAGCTGGTCAGAGCGATCAACACCATTCATATATTGATTGTAGTTTTCGATGACTTTTGGCTGCTTTACCCTTATTGTTTGCCATCTGTTGTTTTCCTTCTCTTTCCTTTCAACCATTACCCACTCATTTGCATCAGCAATGGATGACAGAATTGTAACTGGCTTGTTGTCTTTCCATTGCTGTGCTAAACATACTCCATCCCTTTGCCACCTCATGTTGCCACGCTGCTCTCTTTTTGCCCATTCCTTGCCTTTTTTCATACAATCAGGAAATCCTTTGCGATTTTCAGCAGCTGTGCCAGTAGCAGGTACACCAACAGCAAACAGATCTTTTATGAGTTTGACTGATGTGTAAAAATTATCAAAGTAAAGGTGATAGCCTTGATTCAGGAGAGGCTGCATAAGCCTGAAAACAACATCATACCCTAATCCATTTGCAGATGGCTCATGACCAGCTTTTTTCCCAATATATACATCAAAGTCACACGTATATCCATTGGCACTGTCTGCTAGAACCCAAAGCTTGATGCCCCACTTAGTTGGTTTGTTTTTGATGTATTGTCTTATTCCTGACCTATGCTTGGATTTGACCATTCGCTCATCAATCGAAACTCTTTGAAAAGGCTGATAAAGTTCTTGACATTTGCTTTTGAAATGGTCCAGGAAGCTACTAACCTTTCTCAGCTTATCATTTTCAGCCTCTGTTCCTGGGTGTACTACATGAATCATGGACATAAGGGCCTTGAATCGAAGACGTGACATAATACTCCGTGCCCAAAGCCCATGATACAATGTCTTAGTGCTCCAGTAGCGTTGAAAGGAAGATACATCTACAAGTCCACAATACATAATCAGAGCAATAAGTTTGTATAGTTCTTCTGTGGTTGTTTCAATCCATGCTCCATGCCTGTCGCCATAAGATGGTTTGTTCGATATCGATGCCCAAGCATAGGCATTAGTATGTTCACAAATCTCCCTCATCAGTTCCATGGTAAAGAATAATTTAAAAAAATCAATTGCCTTTGACATGCTTCCTCTTCGAATAGGGCCTTCTAAATGTACACCAGATTGTCTATTTGGTGAAAATGTTGGCAATTGGTTTGGTGTATCAGGAGTATCATAGTCGTTTGCGGCTTGTTGTGCCTGGTTGTTAGCCTGGGGAGCTACTCTGTTTCGACCACGACCCCTTCCTCTTGGTCGTCCTCTACCTCTACCTCTACCTCTAGCCCTTCCTCTTCCTGCTCTTGGTCTTTGAGCAAGTTCCTGCTCTTCGCCCTCAGAGCTTTCATCATTTTCTGAAGCTTCTGGGACTTCAAGGTCTTGTTCCACGTCCAATGATTCGTATTGAGAGCTAAATTTCAGAAAAAAATACACAAATATTACAATTTGATAAATACAAATATTAGAAATCTTATAAATTTCCTAAATTTTGAAGCACACTATATTATCATAACTATGATCAACTACAGAAACAAAATAAAACACAAAATATGTCCAAAATATGTAAGAAACAAGGTCCAAAACTCATAGGTTTGTTTGTGTGAAAGGTGTCAAGTTTCTTTCCCGCGAGAAAGGCACATGGTCTATTATGATTACAAAGAAAATCAAGTAAAATTGCCGTAAATTGTTATTTATTTCGATCTTCAACATACTGGTGATATTTTTTAACAATAATTTAAAGTTTTTATGTTGAAAAATCGTAATATAAGCATCATTTTCACCATTATAATTCCATGGCGTCATCTCACATGGCATTGTTTACGATCACGCTTACCTTGATTCCGAGTCTTCGTCGCTTCTTTCTTGCAATTCCTGGTCCAATTCAAACTCCTCTCCACTAGATAACCCACCATTATTGCTGTCTATATCACTTTCTCCCTCACTTTGATCGTTTTCAATTATTTCTCTCACTTGTTCCGCAGTAAATCGAACATACGCTCTCTTGCTAGCTGACGCCATTTTGAAATGTGAAGCACTTGCGTTACGAAAATTTTATATCGGCCTCTAACAGCTAGCCAATCATGTGCACTGTATATTTAATGCTGATTTATGATTGGCCAAAGCACAATAGTGATTGTAACAATGTTTTTGATCGACCACATGCATTTTTGGTATCCATGACAACATTCGACGTCATCGTTCCTGGAGGAACGATTTTTAAAGGGGCGGACGTCAAAGGGTTAAAAATGTTAAAATGATTTGACTAGAGTATTTAATTTGTGATTTTGTGCCTTCTTTTTTTCTTTTATATTTATGTACAGCTTCCCCAATTGCAAATTGGAAAGTGTTGTCTGTCAGCATCATACACAGGAGAACAACATAAAATTTTGAATGAAAAATCTTTTTATTTTTGTCTTAGGAGAACTTCTTATATAAATGGTAAGCTATTCCCCCCCTGGTTGGATATTGACCTGTCAGCATCATACACAGGAGAAAAACATAAAATTTTGAATGAAAAATCTTTTTATTCTTGTCTTAGGAGAACTTCTTATTTAAATGGTAAGCTATTCCCCCCCTGGCTGGATATTGACCTGTCAGCATCATACACAGGAGAACAACATAAAAATTTGAATGAAAAATCTTTTTATTCTTGTTCTAGGAGAACTTCTTATATAAATGGTAAGCTATTCCCCCCCTGGCTGGACATTGACCTGAAAGAGAGACTTGCTTATCCTGACTGTTACAGGTAATGTGTACACATTGTCAAATCATATACTGTCAATAACGTCACAGGAGGATTTCGGTTGTATAGTATTAGATATGGAAGATAATTATGGTAACCTGTAATATTTACTTTTAGGGCTTGACACTAATGGTAGCCAACTAGCTACAGACTAGTAGAACTTCAGGTTTGGCTGGTAGTTTTCAATTTCTATACACCAGTTTGGCTCGTAAACAAACTGAAGTTATCATAACATCTAAGTTGTCACTAGCCACTTGGCTAGTAAAGTTAGTGTGGTCTCTTATTTTGGAGATGTGATGGTCTAATGGTCAACTCTTGACTGACCTACATGTACATGTAATAAGCTGAGCAATTCAAAGTGTCAACACTCCTCCCACCCTTGGCAATCCATGTTCATTTGACTGTTGTCCTTCCCCAGGGGTGGGGAATTTGAACCTGCAGTGTCAAGACTTTTAAGCAGAATGCCCAGTTTTGTGAGGGAATGGCTCAAAGTCAATAAAGTCCAGGTTTTAAAGCTTGGTCCAGGTTTAAAAACTTGCATCCGCTAATTGACCATAAAATCCTTTGACTCAATTTTGGCCCTAGAGGCAGGTTTGGACAAAACAATCTTCATTGGTGCAAATGTAGGGGGTTGCCCCAGGGGTGATGTTGAAGCTTCGAATAGATTGATACATATCCACGCACATTTTAATGTATTATAACATTTGTTACTGTAGTGATAAAGATGGTCAGCTTGCCCTTTCACAGAAACAGAAAGCTCGCTTTGCCAAATGGTTAAGGTATGACCAGTATATCACCATTGTATGATGCTTCAAATTCCTTCCTTCTGCAGGGATGTTTATCTGAAGTATTGCTAAATTTGCCATATCTCTTCTTTATCATGACCGTGACTTTTCATTTTTTGACAGACCAACTGAGTTGTGTGAAAACCCAGAGATGATTTATGCCATTTCAAGCTTCAGTATTAAACAGGTATATTTAACAATTATTCCACGAGCACGCGTTGGATATGAGATGATAGATAGCCAACGAGGTGCGTAGCGCCTCGTTGGCTATAATCATCTCATATCCAACAAGCGCGAGTGGAATAATTGTTTTATTAAAACGTTAAATTAAATTATTAAATTTTATTAAATTTTTAGCTCCCTTTTAATCTTTAGCTGAAACGTACGCTTGCCATATTTGTAGATTATGGTATATTGGCTGATATACCATAATGGCTAAGCCAATAAAAAGTCTTGAATTGCATTATCCAATGATCTAGTTTTTAATAATTAGTATTATGAATATAAAAAAACGCTATAAAATCCTCTGGAACGCAGTCTTACATGTAATCCTTGATCTGAAAATTTCATACATTCCCGTCAATTTAACCAAAATTTCATCAATCAAGTACTATTGTAGCTTGCTCTGGGAAATCAAACAAGACTTCAAGCTCGACTGTTTTCAAAGTCGCCATTTGACGACCTTAAATCATAAAGTGGTCGGCAGAAATAAAACTTGAACTCGACTAATTACACACAGATGAATAAGGCTGATAGTTTCGAAAGAAACTGTTTGGGGCTGCGTCGGTGGGGGTAACGAAATAATTTGGATATATCAACAAAGTTGAAATGGTAAATTGACCACCGTAACGATTACAAAAGCTGACGTTTCGAGCGTTAGCCCTTCGTTGGAGCGAAAAATCGTTACGGTGGCCAATTTACCTTTTCAACTTTGTTGATGTATCCAAATTATTTAATTACACCCAGAATTGGACGAAATACAGTCCTGCTATCGTGAAGGGAAACCATGAAAATATTATAAAATAATAGAACAAACCAATACCCAACGTTTGAACATGTTCATAACTAATTTCCAAAAAAATAACATTTGACTTCTACCCCGAAAAATTGAACCCAATAATCTATACAACAGCTAGAGGAAATGACGCTTACTGTTCTATTGGGGAGTATGGGTGCGATAGTATTGAAAGTGCTCGCCTCCCACCCCTGTGGCCCGGGTTCGATTCCTGAGACTGGCGTCACATGTGGTGTTTGAGTTTGTTGTTGGTTCTTGTCCTTGCTCGGAGGATTTTTCTCCGGTTTCTCCAGTTTTGTTCCCTCAGCAGAAAACAGCAATCCAACTTCGAGTGGAAACAATGGACAAGAAGAATCACCTCGTGTAATATCTGCTGCTAAATTCCCATCCTCATACCCATTCCCACTATTCCCATTACACCGCCGTTAACTAACCTCAATCGAGAATTTTGTTGTTGTTGTTGTTTTTTATTAAAGGGGAACTGAAGCCTAAAATTGGTATGTTGTTTGCATTCATGACCTGAAGAATACGGGTAATATATGAAGTTCATATATTTTGAACTGCGGTTATAGATACGTATGATGCACGATCCTCGCAGGTCATACGTATCTATAACCGCAATTCAAAATATATGAACTTCATTTATTCATCGTATCTGATTTATCATCACGGGTTTATTACGAATCAACTTAACGGCCTGCTCCCAGTTGGCTTGTTAGCTCAATTGGTAGAGCGCTGCACTAGTATCGCAGAGGTCAGTGGTTCGAATCCCGTATAGGTCTGATTTTCGCTATTGTATAAATAGCGCTCTCTACTGCGAGGATCGTGCATCATACGTAAGAAAGCAGATGTTTGTCACTCTGAATGTTCAAAGAGTTTAGCATTAGACTAGATTTAATTGCCATGGAATCTTATAGTTTCTGAATGTAATTATTCCAGGATTAATCGTAACTGTGTTTCGAACAACCCGGTTCCGATGACAGACATGTTAAAGACTTTTTCCTATTCCTCTTCCTTTTCCTCATATGCTTCTCTGTTTCTCTTTCATCAGGAGTATTTTGGATTAGCTGGGAATGCGTTTTGCAGTTTTTCGACGTGATCTACATGAACTGGAATCCCAAACTCTTCAAATATCGCTTTTCTCTTCACTCGTAAGTGTCATTTAGATCCTTTAACTCCCAGGATCGGATCAATGTTCCCTTCTCGCTGTGTTTGATCAAGATAACTTCTTCCTGATAAGTTTGAGTATTCTCATTAACTGTTTCCTGGATAATTTTTGGATATTTTAAGGAGAAGTTGCTTGCTGATTCCTTCTTGGAGTTAAGGGTTGAAGCATTTCTGAGCCGAATACCTTTCCAAAAAACTTTCTGTTAAATTTTTCGAAATGCCACGCCCCTTCCGCAATACACCAAATGAATATGGAATCGTATATTTACTATGGAAATGAATCAAAAGTTCTCTTGTCCGCGATATAAAACGGATTGAAAATTAATGTTCTCTCTCCACACTACAGTGATCTCTAGTGGCATCTTTGGGCATGCCCATAACAACGTCCTAATTAGATTGCGATTAGGAGGGCGGTGAATTCAGCGTTTACCAAAATATTTCGTCTTACAACTGTTAAAAATGATGATAATAATAAAGTCTTTATTCGCCAAAAGATGAACGCTAACCCTAGCCCTAACCCTTGGATTGCAAAACATGCTATTTGTATTCGTCCAATCTAAAAACTGTGGCACTAACTGATCGGAGTGGGCTACCTCCTTCCATACAGAAGCACCCAATTGTCGAATCATCAGCGTATTTAAATAGAGCGTCATGATTACCTAAAGTGATGCTTAGATCATTGAGAAAGATGTTGAAAAGGTAAGGACCGCTGACGCTACCTTGGGTTGTCCCTTTGTAAACCGGTTTCCAGCCGCAGTCAAAGTTGTTGTAACGTACCCTTTGTTTTCTAAACTATGTGTTTATTATAAAAATCACAACGAGTAGCTGAATTACTTGTGCAATATACATAATTTACAATAATTTTAAAAGCATATATTACAAAAAAAAAATCGCATAACAACAAATTCTAAATATAAACAATTAAAAGTATTAATAATAATAATCCTACTTAGATTTCTAATTGCTCTTTTCCTGCATAGTCACGTAGGTAGTTTCCAATGATTGCCATGGACACAGTTTGGTTAGTAATTGTAAGAAAAGATTAATTGCTGGTTTCGAATCGTCTCATAGGACTTGGACGGCTGCTGAAGGACCCAAGAGAGACGCTTATAATATCGGTAAGTTCTTTGACCTCTGCATTTCAATCTCTATGATATCAAGCGTCTCGCCAATTTACCTTTCACCCACGTTTTTTTGAGAGGCGTATGATTCGAAGAAGACCTTATTTTAGCCTTAAAACTTCTATTGCAAAGTAGACTTGGCCTGCAACTTTCTTAGACCGTTCACACTTATACCATCCTATTGAAAGTATATTTGGTTTTGACAGTGCTTGCAAGTCTGTTCGAAGTTCAACAACGTTTTTCTATATTGCTAGGGATCGCAGTTTTAGTTCTGTTTATGTTTCAATTTTTAAACGACTGTGATTATGTGAATATCATATATTTGAATGGTTGATTGATAATATTTTCACTACTGCATTAGCAGTGTTCATTACTTCAAAGGTCATTTTCACCTCTGTTTCAATTTTTGTTTGTGATCTATTGAAAAAAATTTATATCGTAGGATTTTATAACATCGGTTTCAATTTTCCCCCGAGATTTTCGGAAGTGATTATAGATCCAATTAGTTATATTGTTTGATTCGTCTATCTAAAAATGCTGTGGAAGATCAATTCATTGAACTTAAAGTGGATGTGATTATGTTGAACAAAAAAAGAAACAATTGATTGAACGAGGTTTTTAACATAAGCGTTAGGTCTTCAAAGCCAGAGACTTTTTCGTTTACTATGGAAATTTAGAGATTTTCCCGAATGAATGATACAGTGTTTCTTTTTAGTTTAATTCTTTTGTTACTAATTGAAATTGGCTTGGAATGACTCATTATTGACCTCACTAGCCGCTTGATGTTTTCGAGAGTTAATGATAATACTGCGCGTCTGAAAATCTTCCGGTCGACGTGAAATATAATCATCAATGATATTTAGTTATGTTTTGGAGGCAATCTGTGTCCTTTTTAAAATCAAATGATCATTATTAAGTAATATTCTGCTGGCATTTTTGACTTAACGATTTGATTGATTGTAGGTACAAATATTAATTCTGAGGTAGTCCATGATGTCACATATAACGTGAAGCATGTCTGCTTGATCGTGGCCGAAGTCTTAGTGGAGTTCTTATACTCTTAGATAATTTGATTTTATCAACTGAGTTGATATGTAAATTGGCCACCGTATCAACTCAGTTGACAAAACCAAACTATTAGTGATACTCCTCCACCGACGCAATACCATAATTTCTCTAAAAACTTACCCCTTTATTCGTATATTTTCCTTTGTATATCGACATGGGAAAGGCCATGACGAGACGTTTTCTTTGCGCACCGATCGCTGAAAAGCCGCGTATGGCATTCTCATGACGAAACTGGTCTCGAGCGTCAGAAAGGCATACCTGACACAAATAATCATTATATTAAGATTTTTTATTTGATACAGCTGTTATTAAACCGTGAATTGCGATGACCACCTTTAGGGCGTATGCTGCCAAGTTAAGAAGTTGCTTCAAAATAGCAGCGGTTATAATCATTATTTTCAGCACATTTTTAAGTTCATAATTTTCAAACGGTCAGGTCGTTTTGTGGCAGCTCAACCCGTTGTTGCTGGTAATTTATTAACTTTTTTAATGGTAGGAATAAAACAACTTGTTTTTCGGAGCAGGCCCTCAAATTATCCTGAGTAACATATCATAAACAAGGATTCCTCTATGGAGCGACCTAAGGGCCAAAGTGTAACTACATCATAGTGTGCTTTTGGTTTGAGTTTGGTTTTAAAAAAAACAACAACAACAAAAAAAAAGCAAAGTAATCACAACATCCAATAAGGAAAAAAATTATCATAAGCAGCCCATCGGAACCAAAACTAAAAACAAGCAAACTGCACATAACGCAGGGCAGTCGCCATTGCTTTTAGTGTCTAGTCTGATTAGTTGAGAAAGTGGCGCGAATTTTATTGGCCAATCGGATCGAGGCTAAGCAAACCAAAGCAAGCCCGAACTACTTTCCACCCTCAATTGAAAATTGCTAGTTAACTCTCCTCACATGTGCTGCAAGGAATGTATGAATTTCAATGTGGAGATTGTAATGGTGATATTAGTGCTTATATTTAACAGGAGACAATCCGCAGTACAAACTGGAGTTACTTTCATCTGACAGTGATGCTGTTGTCTGGATCCTTCTCACTCGGCACATCACACAAAAGGTACGCTTGCGATGGATAAAAGTGATTTTTACCCTTTTTGGAACGCTTCGAGAAAAGCTAGTCGCTTTTGCGATATCACAGTTTGATGGGAAAAACGCGTAGTTTGCGAGTTTTGATCTTTTCACTTAGAAGTTACGTGAGGTTTCGCTATCCTTACAATTCGTTTAAGGCATATAGGTTTTGTTAGCGCGCTGGATTCTGATTCGGAAGGTCTGAGTTCGAGCTATGACCGGTTTATCGTATTGTGCCTTAGGGAAAGGCACGTTACTCTCACATTGCTTCTCTACACTTCCCGTGCCGTGCCCCCCCCCCCCCAACCAGGAGTAAAATTGGGTTTAAGTGAACTGTTAGGACGGGAGGTGCTTGTAATGGACTGGCACCATAGCCAGGGGGAGAACTCTCAGGGTTTATGGGGGTTTAGCCTAATGCATGTTCGCCCTCTACCAGTGTGCCCCCATTTAGACGAGATCAACTCTTAAAATATGACAAGTGCGCCTTCAAATCCCCAGAAGTTCGACAGTTTTGTTTGCTAGAGAAGCAGGCGAACCAATGTTAATCTATTATATTTTAGGATGATTTTGCTGAAAACAAGGAGTTCATAACCGTCCATGTGTATAAGTCAGATGGCAGAAGGGTGTTTTACCCGGGTTAGTAAACAATATATATGCGTTATTAACCAAGCTTGTTCGGTCAAGATGGCTGGATATTGGCCGAGTTCTTTTTTTTGCATTTTTATGGACCGAGACGAAGTCGAGGTCCACAAAAATTCGAAAAAAGAACGAGGCTAATATCCAGCCATCTTGACCGAACAAGCTTGGTTAATAAAGGATTTATTATATTGCAAAAATATATCGCTTTATTAAGAATTAAGAATGACTTGTTAACTTCGAGAGCCAGGAAAGAAAGCCAACTGTGTTTGTAGCACAACAAACTCAAGGGAGTCGTTTCTTTTTTCTTTGTATTGACTATCTTTTGCCGCTTTTTTCGCCGAAATTGTCCAAGAATAACGAACGTAGTTCTAATTCAAAATTTTCATGCGCGGGATCAATGCGGGCAAGATAGGCCCATCTGGCCCGCTCGGGTGGCCAATCAGAACACAGGATTCGCTTCATCATGCCCACGGGCGCTGCGAGCAATTTAAAAAAAAAGGATTTAAAAGACTACTTAAAGTAGGAGGGAGAGTGGAATGTTGACACGGAAACCGAATATGGTCTTGTTTTCTTTTTCTCGTGGTATTTTGTTCGATCGGTGTTATTTCAAAACCTTTTATCCTAGTAGGGCCACAAGAATTCTTGGAATTACCGAAAATTTCACAAAGAAGTGAGTTTTCTATTAACAGTAGAGAGACGATAAGTAATTGTTTTCATGTTTCAGACAACCCATTGTTGGAAGGTACTAAAATCAACAGTCCATTTTACCTCGCTAAACTCAATGCCCCGAAAGGAACAAACCGTTTCACACTTGTTGTCTCTCAGTATGAAAAAACGAATACCATTCACTACACCCTGAAGGTATGTGTGCCTATCTTTATTCTAGTCGCCACACGCTTCGTATCGCGTCGATCTTAGGCTATTCTTCTTGTTACACATTACATGCCCTCTCCACCACTATCTCCCTACCTAGAACTTTGACTGGCATTTTGAAGCCATCTCGATGGTGCATTGAACGCGTTACACCCTTAGGCCTTGTAGCGAAGAAAACCAATGGTTAACTTGCCAGTGTCAGATTATCAAGTTGCCATGCGCGTCTGTCTAGTAATAGATGACAGATGACGTCAAAATGGGGCAGGAACAAAAGGGTGGCACACGAGGCTTAGCCGAGTGTATCAGTGATGTCATTATTACCACATTTTTGCATCGTTTGTGATGTATTAATGCACAGACCTACGGACAGGTGGAACCTATTTGGTTTATATTATAAAAAAAGCCAAAAACTGTTTATGTTGCAGTCATGTATGCGTCTGTCTTCCAATAGATCGTAAGTAAAGACCAATCAAAATGCGTGGGTAATTCAACTTATTATATAATTATCGGTGAAGGACAACTTTTCGAAATCCTGCTTGCGTTAACCAGCATGCATTATTTCTGTCTTTACCGCAGGTTTTTTCTTCAACTGAATTCCGTTTATCTCCAGTTCCTGTCCCATATACTGTTGAGAAACAGGTAAGTTACTGCAGACGCGAGATCCTGATTTTGATTCTCATCCCTCACAGATTTAAACGATTCAGTGTTCAAAGATGAGTCGTCGCTTCTGCCAACCCTTTGGATTAGGCAAAAACACTTTTTTTATAGATATATTTATATATATATACAGGTTACCGGTGAATGGAGTGGCAAGTTCGCCGGTGGTTGTCCAAACTTCTCTTCACATTGCAATAATCCCGTGTATCGCCTGCAAATCAAGATGACTTCGCCCTCAGAAACTGCTGAAGTTCTTTTGAAACTGCGAGGGCCCAAGTAAGTTCATATCGTTTACCGGCTCTGGCATTGTTTTAATGACTGTTTTAGTTTAAAATTTCTCATCGCCATTTCAAGAGAATGTAATCCCATGGTTGTTTATTTGTAATTTTTTCGAAATTTAGGCAGTTTTCAGTGGGAGCCATATTTCGTTCTGTAGAGCGCACCTCGGATGGGAGACCCATTTACGAGGCGTACTCTGAAACTTACAGGTATTTAAACTTACATTCATGTTTCGAAGTACATGTATACCGAACGCCTCTAATGAGCTTGAAAGTCCACTGGCTCTGTCGGATTTTGTCGGAAAATAACCGGTGGCTTTTAAATCTTTCCTAAAGGTGCATATGCTACTTTCTTATATTGCAAGGCCTTTTAACGTCATGTATAAGAGGAATAACGTGGCCTTTGCAAGAGAAATTCATTCTATGGATTTTTTTTTTCTTTTTGTTACTTTCGTAGGCCTGGCTTTTATGTTCAGCAACTGACCAGAGTGCCTACGGGCACATATGATGTGATTCCTTCGACTTTTCAGCCGGGACAAGAAGGACCTTTTATATTGACGATATCAGCAAGCTGTAAAATAGCACTGGGGAAAAAGTAGACCGTCCCACAGTTCACTTTGCTTTGAGCGGTAAAATGAGCTGGCAAAAGGATTGGTTTGTCCCCAGTCTCTAACTGGCATTGCATGCTTCCCAGTGAAATAAATCTGGATTTGGAGAAAAGCAGTTCAAGGAATTTAGCGAAAAACTGCTGGTTGAGAAGTTGAAATAAGGAAATAGACAACAACCAATTAGGCAATAGTTAATACAACGAATGGCTGAAGGCCGCTAAACAAGGAAATTCAAAATTAATTGAAAGGCAGTTGTAAAGAACGAGAACTTTAATAGAAGGCGATAATGCCTAATTTGAATGGACAGCTGTTGGATTCACATGTGAATCCAATTGATAATTTGATAGAAATACTGAAAGACGAAAATATGATTGCAAAATATCGAAATTGCGAGGAATAAATTTGTATTTCATACGATTCTTAACGATACAGGTTTGACTCTCCTCTTAAAGGATAAATTAACTTAAATTTATGAGGTCCTGGTATAGTTAATGCTTTTTATCTCTGTAGAATTGTGCAGAAGTAAATTGCTCTTTGCAACAGCTTTTGTTTTGGTGGGTAAATGCTTCATACAGTGAATGTAACTGAGTAATAAGTGAGTTGTCGACCGAGGTAATGAGAGAAAATATTCTAGATTGACAATAACTGTTTGGGCAGCCAATAACCTCATAGAAAGATGCACATCAACCTTTGCCTCTTATCTGAGACGCAGGATTTAGTTCTCATTGTGAGTATACACCCCGATTGCAAAATCTTTGACACCCAAAAAGCGTTAGTAATGAACGATGAAACCCAGCAGCTTTATGGGACATATTTACATGATAAGCACAACTAATTGTACGTGCTAAATGATGAAAGCCATCCACGCTTTCCCGAGAGAAAATGATTGTTTAAGATTCCCAGTCATGAATAATGGAAAAAGTTAGGTACTTATGGTGTAACTGGGCATGAGCAAAAATTTCCCCATGAAGCTTTTGGGTCTCATCATTTATGGATTACACGTTTTAGGTTTCAACGTTTTTGCAATGGAGGGTATATTTCCTGAGTCTGTTTGTATCTCTATCATACTGAGGTAAAAGTGTGAGGAAGCGATCAAAAAATGATTTAAAAAATTTTATGAACTCTTCACTTTGTGAGTGATGGAAATAACTGACGCCGTAAACTTTGTTTCATTGTTGCATTTTGGAGGTTGCTTCCTTCGATCTTCGCGCTCAAACTGACAGGAAAAGTATGGAATTCTACTTTCTTTAGCAATTGGTGTCGCCGTCTCGTTAAATGTGACATACGAATTTTTTTAGGTAAATATTGAGTTTTTAAACGGATAAAATACGACCTATTTGGCCACATTAAACACCGAACCCACAAAATAAAAGTATAAATGCTTGTTATTATATTATACCATCGTGTTTGCTCACGAATACATTTGGAAAATCATTTTCTGTAAGGGAGGTATGAAGATTGCATATAATAAAGAATAAGGATAACCTCCATTTCCTAAAAGCCAAGAGTCAAACCATTTTCGGCGAAATTGTTGGGGATTTCATCGAGAAAACAAAAAGTTGGTTCTTGGTTCCTCTCGTCAATTTATTGACTGATTTTCGCATGGGAGTCAAACAGATGAACAAATCCTATCCAAGCCAATTAAACATCGCCAGGTCAATTGATTTTGATTTTTTTGCTAGAAAATTTCAGCATGCGAATACAAAATTAGCATGGGTGGATTTTTCCTTTCAAAAGTTACCGACTTAATGGCCACAATCAGTAGAAGAGATTAGAATTTGCAAGTGGCTCAGTAAACATGTTGATTAGCATTTGAATTTGTATCCTGTGAATATTGATATTTGTTGCAAGCACGCAAATAATGCACTTTATTTCTTGTCGTGTTTTCGTCTACTTTTCCATCAAGCGATGGCTTTTCAGACAATTCACAAACAATCTATTTAACGGTAAGTTTGAGTGATGCTTTGAATTTTCTTTTCAGTCATGATCAGGTTGATATTCGCATCTGGATTTAACATGTGAATGAGCAACATGTCAGTTCTCACTGGACAGAAGTTAGAAAAAAGAATATTCACATGTAAAATAGCAAAGTAAGTTTACAGCCTGGTTCCTTTGCGTATCATTTTTGATGTGTTAATTTGATGTTCAAGTATTTTAGAAAACAGATTGCATGCAATTTTTTACGAAAGTTCGGCATTGAGATTTGCTCCGAATGATAAAGCTGCCAATATCTCAATTTATTTTGTGTTTTACTCAAATGTTTATATAGCCGCAAAGATAAACTGAAGTTGTTGTTATGGTTGTTATTTGTGAGATTAAGTTCTATTTTTCTGGCAATGATCCCAATCATCTATCTAATTCTCCTTAAAAACTCGCTTATATTAAAGATGAGACTCTAAATTCCAATTCTCTCGTTGAAAATTATTATTAAGAGCGAATTTAAATTACGGTCAGTATTTCTACCAAAATTATTTCATGAAAAATGCGCGCACACTATTTTTGTTATAACCCAATCTATCAGTTCTCCCTTTCATACCTGTTAACATTTTGTTAAGTCCGCTGACTAACCCATAAAGCTGACGCATGTTTAATTCCTGCGTGAGGCTTAACTGATGGCCGAGAATTGGCCAAAATTTTTAACAACTTGTAGAGAACCAACGTGTATTTGACTGAAAGGGGAGGTCTGAAATCAGCAGAGTTTACTGATGGATGAAAAATGGGCTGAATTTTAACTACCCTCGTGAGGTTTGGGCATACACTGCGCATATGAGGTGCTCAGTTGAAGGACGATCAGCCGTCTTAAATGTTAGTATTTATAGGCCTTCTGTATGGCTCGAGTTTTAATTTTCGACCGCTCAGTTCAAGGACGGTCAGCCGTCTTAAATGTTAGTATTTATGGGCCTTCTGTATGGCCCGAATTTCAGTTTTCGACAGCCGAAAAACGCAAGATCGATGCATTGCACTCTGGAATGAAAACCTCCCCTTTAATGAAAAACAAAAAAGAGAAAACGCTGCACTTCGGAAGTGGGCTGCTTAAATGTCGCTTGCTGCACGTTAATTCACGGTGATGTTCAGGGCGAAATGAGGAAAACATATGCTTTTGAAGAAAATCTTGATAAAAAAAGGGGAAAATAAAAAGAACTTACCAACCCTAGGGATCGATCCCTTGACCCTGCGCATTGCGCCAAGTATGCAGAACGTACGATTACGTGCTTTCCGGGAGTGAAAGACCGTACAGATACAGCGTGCCCGAAAGTTTTAAAGTCAGTTCGAAAGGCCTAGAGATCTCTCACCTTCAAGATATATTTTCCGAGTTCAGCCAAATTGATTATTTTTGAGGTAGCAGAGTCAGAAAACGAACTAGTTAACTCAGCGGACAGTTATCAACCAGTGAAAATAAACCACGTAAATAATTATTTTTACAGGCACTGAGATTTTCTAATTGGCGTGGTGTTTGTAAACACACTTTAATTCGCCGAAATGGGAGCACGATAATCGATACTACGGTCTATTGTTTAATTGTGGAGAATATTCGACAATATTCACCGAGCCTGAGGTGAATAATAGTTATAAAAACGGAAACCATGAAAACCACCTTGTGATGACGTCTAGGAAAGCGGGTAATATTCGTCATCAGCTAGGTTTAAGTTCCCTTCGTTACTTTCATTCATCAAGGGCGAAATTTGTCATTCGCGTCGCTAAACAGTGGACAAACTGCTTTGGTAATACATCTTTAATCATGATAAGATTTTGAGGGACCGAGCGACTTCCTCACTGCTCTATGAGGTCTTAAAGAACCCAATCGCTTTCGTGAATTACGGCAGATAGTACCTGGATATCTCACAGCTGACTCATTGGTGAATATCTTACAGTTTCGAAAAGTATCAAACAGGATCAATATTTATTGTGTATTTTTCCATTAGTTTTCTAGAATACTGTCAGCTGTGAAATGAAGACTGTAACGCTCGGTGTTTTCATCCTACTTGCGGAGCTCAACTTGGGTAAGTGAGTTATGTGTTCGCTTAGTCTCTAAATCCCAGTACTGATAAACATGTATCTTTTCCTCGCAGTTACCATACATTATCCAAAAAAAAGTTGATAAGGATAAAAAAACGTAACCTAAAAGCGAAAGGGTGTCTCCTTGTCGAAACACCAATGTATAAAAACTTTAACTTCTTTGTGGTAGGGCTAAGTGGTGAGGGTGGGGAGGGTCGACCAGTCAGATCGCACGGTAGGGGGAGGGGTAAGAATCAATAGAGCTTAGGTTAAGCATGACGTTTACAGCAAACGGGAAACGGCTACTTGACGTTTCACGTTGGCCGTTTGTGTCTTCACTTCTGCACTTAAGAGCGTATTCCTGATAATATCGAGTATCGATGGACAGTCCCAAACATCTTCCTCTTTTTTTGTTTTGCCATATAACTCCCTTGACTGAATGCATTTAAGGAAACACTGTTTTGCATCAACTAATTTTACGAGGGGGATTTTTAAAATTCGACACGTGTAGCTTTTACCCAGTTAAATATGCAAATTTTTGTTTTCTTTCGGCGGTTACCAGAAACACAAAATTTTTACAAAAATTGGACTTTGCCTAAGTAACAGGCTATCCTTCTTCTTTCAAACGGTGTGATGATATTACGAAAGTTTTGAATTCCAACTTCTTCAAATTGTTCAACTTAACAGTTATTATTGCGGCTAAAAATTTCTTGAATAGTTGAAACTTAGCAACACACTCCTCGAAGCACACGATTGCTAATGCCTCACAACAGCATAAAAGAATACGCTTTTGATTAAGTTTTTCATAAACGGGAAACCTCCTCCCTATACTTTGAAAACGGCAGAGAACGAACGGAAAACGTAAAAATGGCGGGAAAGATTCATCACGTGGCCATCTTTGCTCTTTCCCGATCAATATTTTCTTAGATACTCGTCCAACCCCTCCCCCGAACCAAGTCTTATGAGGCTTTAGCGATGTGAGGAGAGGGCGGGTTTGTCATATATGATTTTCATATATTCACAGTCAACATGTAAACTTTTAAAAGCAGTAAAACGCAACTGACTAAGTAGTGATTGATTTTAGTTTTGGATCTGATTGGTTTAGAGGATGGTGCTAGTTTTCTGGACCAATTACAGATCGAAGTAAAGCAAAGCAAAGCCATCTGAGATTACTTTCGACACCCAAACGAATTAGAGTCATATGTAAAACGTGTAAGCCAATGTTAGTTACTGGAATAAGAGAGATGCTGGGAATCTTAGGCTTGGTAATGAAATGTCATGTGTTTTTTCTCGCCTTGTCGTCTTGTCAGTACTACAGATTTATTTCCATGATATGTCACTTTTCCTTTTTCATAGGATCATTTTCATTATTGCTGAAAGGGTGCCCTGAAAAATGTGACATAACTTATGACCCCGTGTGCGCGAGTAACGGAAAAACGTACAAGAACATGTGCAGATTGGAACGGGAGAATTGCTTTGCAAAAACTGAGATCGTAGAACTCTACAAAGGAGAATGTTTGAGTAGCGAAGACGACGAAATCGAAGATGAGAGGAGGCAAGTGGGTTACGTAATTGAAGTTTTGAAAAGCAATAAAAAAATAAACAAATTGAGAACATTAAACGGCATTAATGATCTAGCTAAGAAGGGTGGTCAGAAGTGACGAAAAAAAAAGATAGGTTGCAGTAGGAAAACGTCTCAAACTGTCTACTGCCGAAATACTGGATGCAGTATTTTCAGTTACTTTCTTCACTAATTCATTATTTTATGTTGCCGTCATTCTGTTCAGTAATAGATTACAGATGAGGTAAAAATTTGGTAAGAACGAAAAAGTGGCAGTCGAGTACGTCACTGATGTCCCTAAACACATTTTGACGTCCGTCGATATTTTAGCTTGTTTCGCTTGCTGTTCAGTTACAGATCATATGACGTCATAATGGGTATAGTTCCTTTCAAAATTTACCTCCCGAAGAAGGTGACGTAGGGACCAGCATATCGAGTTAAAATGTCTCTTTACACGCCACTCATTCATGCTACAAATTGGTAAAGGAATTCCAATGTCTAAGAGTTACTTTCCGAAGAAAACATAATACTATATTTTTTGGCACTCCAATATTGATCTAACTTGAACACGGCCTCCGGCCTGACCTCCTAGTCAGTAAATAACTTACATGTCATTTGCTTCACGATTTTTGCCGGCCCTGCTATAAAAAGCATGTCAACCAGTTTAAATGGTTTTCTTACACCTACGCAATTTACCACTCAGGTCCTAACGTGGTCTTTGATTTCACGTCACTTGCGGTTACCATGGGCATTAAGGATAAAATTCAGAGCAAGTGATATTAAGTTGCAGCGCGAAGTATGTCAGAAATGATCATGTATACTTCGTACAATATTGCTGATTAATCCGTGGTATTTTTATCAGACATTTTTTTCAGCAGAGATAATTTCTAAAGTAAAAATAATGACTGTCTGAGCCTGTCTGAATATTTCTTAATTATTTTTGTTATTTCTTTGTCCAACAGGCCTTACGGCTGTTTGAGGGTGGGACGCGGTAAATATCTCACCTGCTGAATATCGAATCGAGTCATCAAAGACTTAAAGCACAAACAACGACTCGACAGCATATCCCTGGACACATCATCTAATTCTGAAAATATTACTTATGTGGACAAATGATGACGCAATTTGAAACGGAGTTTGTGGAATTTGAGTTATAGTAATGATGTAATATAACTCAATTGTGCATTAAGAGGCGTCAGTGGGGACAAACTGACGGACAAATAGACTGACAGACAAGCAAACAGATAGACCAGACAGGCGGACATGTACGATAACGCTACCCCATCCTTTGGCCATGAAAAGCGCATTTCCTTCTCTTAATTTTAAGCTAATCAATTTTACTTATAATGAAATAAAAGTATGTTATGCAAGCCACATTCAGAGAAGGATTGTGTCATACATGTGAATCACGATTCGTTCTGAGAGGATTTCTTGCAAATGAAAGCCACTTATCCTAGAATTGCTTTGATACTTTGTCTCTCAGTTTTCTTTAATTCATCTCAAACATGACGCAGATCTAAATTCCGCGGTGTAGATCACTTCAATTCAAAAAAAGCAATTCCTTTTTTACAGAAATTGCAATTTTAATCGCGCATATTTTCCCTGAATATTGCACTGAACCTTTTTAAATTTATTGGACATACTGTCTAGTTTCGTGAGGTTTGCGCTCAACATTTCGTGGGAAGTCCGCTTAATGTTTTCGTGATTATTCAAAAGTGCTTAAGGTGGTTTTTTCTTTTTGCAAACTCACGTTTTTCCATCATTGCGTTCTCAAGGAAAACTATATTGCTCTTACTTCTAAAGGCCTTGCGTCTGTTTTGGAGTTAGAATGGTTTGTGGTTTTTCTTGAATTACGTAAAAAAAGCATTTTTCCAACATTTTCCCCCATGGTCTCTTTGCGTGCGGCTCCATTAATTTGCGCTCACGAAATGTGGAAAGAGTTCAAGGATGACACCCCTTTCGAGTGTTGGAGATAAAAAAAGGAAATTAATGTGGGAAAATTCAAATCAAATTCACAGTTGAAGGCGTAAATTGCCATTTAAAGTATTCGAGAAATCTAGAAAATTACGAATTTTTTTTCGTTTTATCACGAACATCTGACCGGAATGAACGCTAATCGAGGTTCTCAATGAACCGGAATTACCATCGTCTTGCAAAGTATTTTTTGAATAAATTTTCCTTCTTTGTTATAGCTTTCTACACTAGACAATAAAACGGAAGTCGACGATTTACATTAGGGGTGTGTCTTTCTCATTGCACGTGTCTGATTGCATCATGGGGTGACAGTTGCAAAAGTTCGTAAAACTTGTAACAAATTGTTTGAAAACTTCAAAAAGTTTGCAAACCTTTTAGTGGGCTTTGCTTGTGTACATGACCGTATATGGAACGTCTTTGAGCGGTGTGAAAGAGGCATTGTACTAAATGAATCCTAGAAATCATTGTGTAAATGACCATAGTTAGTAGTCAGTTCATAGTTAACTATGAAATGACAGAAGACATTTTTTTCTTTATGACAAAGGTTCCCTTTGGAATACGCCGTGCATGTCACAGTCAAGCAAAACGACTTAGATTTTTTTTTTCTTAAATTTTTCTGGAAAAAATTCAAATGATTCTCTTATTTAATTTATCCGAAATGGCAACTCGGGTGAAAGAAAAAACTGTTCGTGTCAAAACGAAAGATACAAGATGTGAATTATTCATGATGCAATGGAAGCTTAGCGATATTCGCTCATTGCACAATACCGGAAAAAGTTTTTTTCCTACCAATCAAACGCTAATATTCGTTTTAACTGCAGCCGTACCGACAGTCGGTTTGGTCTTTTGTCGGTTTGTTCTCAGCATTTGTCAGGCACATCGTGAATTCCTAATCGTAAATCTTGAACGATATTTTTGTTTGAAGGAAGCCGCGATTTCTACGGGAAGGATTAAAACATGTTTAAATAACTCAGCCTAGGTGAAGGTATGGGTGAGAAACGGAACCATGCCTATATATTACAATGTCTTAGATCTGAAATTATACGACAATTTTGAAACCTATTTATGCGTAGGCTTGAGCGAAACTGAAATTTTTTTTGGTAAATGAGCACATGTCAGAACTTTTAATTATTTTTAGGAGCTGTTCAGAGTTATCAATTGGCTTTTCTGTGTGCATATTTTTCGAAAATGAAGTGAACCGTCAGAAATTGTACATAAGGCTTGAGACGCCCTCAGTTCGTGAAGAACAAAGCAGATTGTTCCGCTTTGAATAAGGTCAAGAGACGCAAGTCTACTCCTGCCCAGAACGCGCGCGGAAATCCAGCAATGCTGCGAATTTAAAGGTTGCTTCTACGTGCAGTGAATTTATTTCTAGTTCAAGGAAATTTCTCAACAGGCAAAATGAACCCTTGTCGCGTTTCGCGCTGGGAAGCAAATAAAAACTCACGCAATAACCGCGACAGTCGACAATTAATTTTAAGAGCGTTGAGGACTTCGTTTCAAAAGAATTTTAGTCTTTCACTTAGTTTTAATTGCTAACAGCGCCTTCAATTTCTGACAACCAATATTCTTCTTCAGGAAGCTATAGCTCCTAATATCGTCTTGGTTCGAACGCATAAAATACTTCTCACTTTGTAAGAGATCCCAAACAAGGTATTTCCGAATCTTGCTGACGTGAAAAGCGACAAATAGGTTTGTGTACTTTTAGGTGGGATCAGTGTAAATTGAGCAAATACTTGAATATTTGTTTGCATGTTGTAAATACCTTCAAACCTCGAAAATTCAGCTGTTTCCACTAACTAATCGGGGCATTCCATTCAAAACCAGTGACCCCTTACATCTGATTTGATATTGTTAGAGAAACTACAAAGCGCTTGTCTAGTTTTAGCAACCTAAACGCACAATTAAGATCAACACACGATCACCTTTCAAACTAGTGAAGTTATAGTGAAGCTATAAATTACTAGGGTTGTGTGTTTATTGAAAATTTCCCAAGGGATTTGGGGACTTTGGACTTTGAATAAGCTTAGCACGCTTAAGATCGCTCAGGATGAAGAGCTGGTGTATTCAGTTTCTAGCAGAAATGCGGGGGAAGTGAAGGAGGAGTTTATAGCGCGTGTTTACATTTTTACATCTCTTTGTCTTTCTGGGTGGTTTTTTTGCTTAGCAGAAATTGCAAAACGAAAAAATTCTCACGGACATTCCATGTTGATTATACCATAGCGGAAAATTTTCATGATCGTTGAACATTACGTCACCCAGTCTTTTGTTACATCGGGTTGCTCCGGAAACCCTCAAAAAATATAAGGGGCATTAAACCAACTTCGAATATTATTAATACCGATATCTCGACACGTGAAGAGCGACTCCGTGGGCAGTTGAAAGCGGTGGAAAATCGTTCAGCAGCTTGAGCAAACTACATCGGTTGCCTATCAGAAATCCAACAAATCAGTTTTGACAGAGATTTGGAAGAATTTAAATGGATCCATTACAAGTAAGATTTTTTTAAGACTGAAGATTTTAGCGATGACTTTGTCTTTAGAACATGCGATTTAAGAAGACTTAATTTTATAGCAATTATTTTTTTTGTTTTTAAATCAATGGTTTTCGGCGCTTATTTCCGTTTGCGGTGATGAAAATAACGCCGAATTGAGGATTTTATTGAGTTGACATATTTTTACTTAAGTTAAGAATCAGCAGCTTTTCGTTGAAAACCGAAAGTGATAACACTTCGCACTGTGTTTAAGTAGGGTTGTTATTTGTGGTATACAAGCAATATTTGATTTATAAGACACACTCGAATTGAAGGGGCTCTGGTTTGAGAGCTTGGCAATATTTCATGTCAAAGATTACTACAAGTGATTTTCCCGTCTGACCTAATAAGGTTGGAGTTGTTGTGTAAAAGGCTGGCTGGGAATTTCCCTCACATGTTTCTCGAGCCAAAAAAAAAAGCTTTATTTTGTCTTCCTTATAATTGCTCGAATGGCTATTTTGGAAATCAGGTGTGATGTAAGTGAGCAGTGAGCAGTGAGCCGTTAAAATTAACGGGAAAGAATCTGGAATAAGTTAAACGGGTAATTTTATGGGCGCAGCAAGCGAAAAGTTTCAATCACTCATAGCTATTTTTGCACCGAAAAATCCGGAAACTTCCTGAATAAAGGCAGAATTTGACCACTTACCTTTTCTAATCGCAATATCAAAGTAAGGGCCTTATCTGCGTTCTGGATTTTAATTTTGAGAATTTGCTGATAGTGCAGTAAAACGATGATATATCTTGCTTAGTGACCGTTGAAGGGGAAAATTATAAAAGAGTAGAGAGCTATAAAAAGCTTACTTGATTTGAGACCCCTAAAATAATTCAAGTAGGTGTCTTAATTTTGATTTAATGTTTGGAAGATTAGCTCGAAAAATATTGCAAGAGAAGAAATCACGAAACGTCGCTCGAAGCAATGTATATTAATAAGGCAATAAAGATGACTGGGACTTTTTTTCATGTAAATATCCTTGATGTTTCAGACTATTTTTGTCCTGTTCGCTTTCTGCTTATTGAGCCTCACACAAGCTCTCCCTTTGCAAAAAGGATTCAAAAGAGCAGTACGACGGGAAAGGAGATCCTTGACGCCGTTGTCAGTTTGTAATCAAACTGCAATTCCATCCGGACATACATCTGTTTCAGATGTGTCCCTTTGGTACAAAAATGGCTGGTTCTTAGCTGTTTACAAAGATGGTAATATCAACGGGACTTCGGATGCACGCAGCCGCGACAGTAAGTACAGATGCAGACCTTTGTATTAGCGATAATTTAATATTCAGTGCTGTATAGTTTTGACTGTCTGTCTTTCGAGTTGTAGAACAATATACCACAGTTAGTTAGGTATTTTTTTATTAAAGTATATCTTTTGTGTGTGTTAATACGCTGTGGCTGGACAATTAGCCTCCAAAGATAATCGAAAATCAATACAGTCTGAAGACCCGAGCCGAGATGTTTTCAATTATACTTAAATTAGTTTCGTATTCTTTGTAGCCAGCTCTGCAATGAGAGAAAGCCAGCTGAATTCTTTCGTGGTTAGTTAACTCGTCACTTACTATCTTTTGCAGTTAAGCTTCAACTTCAGTCTGTCGGAAGCAGTTTGGTTCGTATCTTTAGCAAACAAACTTGTCTGTACGTCGCCATGCAGCGATCTGGAAAAATTTATACAACGGTAAGTTAACATGACTACATAAGATTCGTTTGTCGCGCCCGGAAAGAGGTTAAACAGTTGAAACATTTTACATGTTTGCAAATGTACACTTCCTTTCTGCCGTCATGTGATTTTCCCGCAAAATCTTATTAGAGATTAAGGTTTTCTTTAGTTCGATTCGACGGTTACCAGGTACTTGAAATCAGACTTAAATGGGTAGTGTTTCAAGTAGTAACAATGCTTAAGTGAAAATGTCGATTGTTTTGAAGAGGCGACTAGATTAACCTAGTCCAAGGTCACGCTGTTATTGCCGCCTCTTAGACGTGGAAGCATTTCTAATGATGTGTGATCATGCACCTCTCTGTTAAGGGAAAATTAAATCGAATTTTCATCGACAAAGCGAAGGATATAGCTACTTTGTGTCCCTCTTTTCAAACAAACCTATTATAAACGAATGTTAACCTCTATTTTTCCTGATTGCTTCAGTCTACTAGATTCGCGCATTTGGCGGCCAAAGATTGTCCATCCTCCAGAGAGTAATTTGATTTAGAAATAGACGATTCATTCGTGTGAATGTGATGATATTTTTGATCGGGCTAATATTTGTCTTGGGCATTTGACAATTCCCACGTTTAATATTCTCCTGCGGTCATCAAAAGAACAATCGATCTGCCTTGATTGAAATAAGTGTTCACTGCAGCGAGACCTAAAATTAATGAAAATTCACGTCAAAACAAAATTTATTGACTATGCGCAGTTTTCACTAAGCCACTTTGCAAATTACTGCTTACAATCTAACTTATATTAATTCCTAGTACATTCCTTTAAGTGAAATTCGAAGTGCAGGCTTATGAGTGATTTGGTTGCTGTTTATCAATATTTTCATATCTAATAAAGTGTTGTTTGTTTATATCTACAGAAGGAACCCACAAGAGCAACGGTATTTCGACAAACGCATGAAGCAAATGGCTTCCAAACCTTTGCTTCTCACCATTACGTCCATTCGGATTATACGATAGCAAGACCGTCCCGAAAACACCTGTTTTTGTCCATGAGAAAGAACGGTCATATGAAAAATGGCAAAAGGACCACGAGAAACAACAAAACTACATTGATTTCAGTGATTGAAAGCCGAGAAATAAGCTAAATGCTGCCCACAGTCCAGCAAAATTTCTTATTCAAAATATTTATTTCAGTTCCATGATCCTTACACAGTTTCGTCTGAAAGCAGGCCTTCAGAACGAACATTAGGTGAAGATTTATTTTGAAAATTTGAATATCCAGTAAATTATTTTAAGATAAGATAAACTATCTATTTATATATTGTCGCAATAGCGAATTTAAGAATTAAATGAGAAAAAGAAGCTATTTGTAAATAAATTTCTTCGATCATAGAGTACCGCTTAGCGAATATTTTGGCCAGAAATGGCCCGGCGTAACTGTTGAACAGGACAGGTTCTTTATGAATAACGTGTCATTCTTTAGAATCCTTATATCTCTTTAATTCATTTTATAACAAAAGATAAAACGTTTGAAGTAAAATCGATTAGTTTTTACCGCCCTGTTGAAAATTCTAGAAAAATAAATCATAGGTGTAAACAAGGGTTATTGAAAGAAGACGCCCTGGTTAGCTTCTTGTTTCAGCTACTTTTTCACTCTCTTATTTGATAATAATAGATAGATGATTATTCTGACGACCAGTGTAACAAAAAAAAAGTCCCCACAGAGAGTCCATCCGTTTGTTCCCCACCACTTCAGGCCCTCTCATTTAACGGTATTTCAGAATGGAAGCAATATCTTTTATTCCCGCTGAATGGCATTGTGACTAAACTACCTCTGCACAAATTTCAAGGTCTGTGGTTTTTATAACAGATTATGTGTAAATTCTTAATTTCTTCTTATCTTGCTCAACGTAACGCTAATAGCTTCAGTAAGGCAAGAATAAAGTTTTCTGAGGTACAGAGAAACAATCATTACAGCCTACCAAATGTTTATAGAATTATTATTTTTATATGTATCTTTTTAATGTTAGGTAGGATTTTCCAATTGAAATAAACTCAGTGTACGAAAGAGGAAACATTTTGTTTCAGATTTGCTGTGTATTTTAACGTTTTGAAAAGGACACTTCAGGTACCTAAATAATCGACAGCTTCTATTTCTCTGATTCTTATCCTTGTCTCAAGGGACCTCAAGGACATACTAGGACATGAAAGGACGCAAAACATGGTGAGAGGAAAGGTTTAATAAGCAAGCTCAATATATGCATGTTTTTTGTAACCCGGCCTTCTTACAGCCAATTACACAAAAAAGAACTGCGTATGAGAATTAGTGTTACCAGAAACTTTGAACATTTCTTAAGTCTTCTCATCTGTCCATTGGGGTACAGAGCCGTGTAATCTCTAATCACAGCATTCTGCATATTTGTCAAATTAACGTGCCTCTGACAGTTTTTTTTTCGCTGTTAGAAATTGAAACGCGTATACAGATAACAACTTGATGCAAAAAATCAAAACATTAATCTTCTCCTCAAACACACAATTTGCTACATAAAATTTTTACCCCAAATTTTTGTTTTTAAACTTGGTAACACAAACGTGTAACAGAATGTTTCTTCACCGTTTTACATTAACCCACTGCTATCAGCAAATCCTTTACTTGTAGCGATTTTGCCTCCAGTGTAATGGTGAGGCGCACTAGGTAGCTTTTCCATTAACGCTCTGCTTTGCTCGACGGAGTAGAATTACAACGAAAGTTTTGGAATGCAGGAAACTTTCACCAGACATAGACGTAAAATACTGAAATACACGGAAATAAAAGGAGGCCATTGACATTTTACCGTTTTACAGTAAGCTGATAAAGATCCTTGAAACTTATTTTCATGCTTAGGGTTTTCAGTTGATATGATCAAGAACCGCTCGGTATTTCAATCAAAGTTGGTCGATCGCGACGTTTCGACTCCACCCTGCCAGTCTCCTTCAGGCCACTCATGAAGACAAAGCGTTTCTCATCTACGGTGGAAGTAACTACATCGTGAGGCAAACGATTCTACATCACCATAGTTGCACTCACCGAGATCCAAAACCACAAACTTTTCAACGATATTAATGTCCAGACTTGTGCAAAAGGATCGCGTGTGATTTAGCACGAGTTAAAAAGTATATCTAGCAGAGGAAATCATTAAAACAAGTGTCTCTTTGCGAAAGACATCAAGGAATGCGTCGTCATGTTCTCTTTAAGTAGAGAATGAAGAATGTGTTTAAAATCCATTAGATGCAGAGAGAATGAAGAATGTGTTTAAAAGCCATTAGATGCAGAGAGAATGAAGAACGTGTTTAGAATCCATTAGATGCAGAAGAGGTACTTACAAACAATTTAGTTCAGCACTTATCTCACTCATTAAGAGACAAACATTAGTTTTATCTTTTTAGCTTAAATGATGGTAGTAAAACACGATAATAAGAACCAATGAGGTAACTATTACCCATAAAAATTTTTGCACCGATGAAAATTGTGCATTTGAACGTGTTAACTACACGCTGGGTCTTTAAAGTGCTACAATCTCATTACGATGAGAATATAAGTATAAAGAAATGCTGTTTAAAAACAGTTAAGATTGAACCGTTTCGTGTAGTACCCTTGGACTCTACGGGAGGTAAACCTGCATTAGCTTTGAGTGGGCAGTTTTCTAAGGAATATCGTAAAATAGAACCTTGCCGTAATTACTATCCTAAAATATCCAGGTGGTGGCACGCAAGTGCGAGAAAACATTACGTGCATGTGATCACGGTAAGTTTTATTTTGCAACTTCCTAGCGACAGAAAACGCATTGGTTGAACGATGCAATTCGTCTCATTCCTTGTTATTAAATCTCAAACTACGCTCTGTTGACTTGGCAAAACCTGAGAGATCAGAAATTATTTGAAAAGCTAAACCCGATGACATGCACATGAAATTGATTGATCTATGCCTAAACTGTAATTAGTGAATCTGAGTGTTTAAAATTTCGTCAGCATCATCGTCATTATTAGAAGAGCAAGGCGATATTAATAGATGGAGAACAAACCCACTGACTTCGGTTTCAGTTTCGTCATCGCAAATATCTAATATTGTTCCAGTTTTAGTGTTAAAACAGAGACGACATATGATTAAACGTATTTCTTCGAAATGACTTCGTATCCACACGAGGACTAAGACCAATTCGTGGTTTGAACAACGCGCAAAGAGTGTTATGGATATTCGAAAAAGCTACAACAATTTCACATTTTAACCGTGAATCACTGCGCTCAGTTTCCCGCTCTTTCGTAAACAAGACGCACTGGCAGCAAAAGACGAGCGACGAAAGGCTTACAACTTCTTGTTTTCAGGTAACATTTCTTAGCTTTTCATAAATATTTGGGGTTTCTCAGATTATTTCCAAATTCCGACAGCATGAATTCTGTACCGAAGCAAACTACATCTTCTTGGTGAATATTTCAATTGGAATAGAAAAGCAACCACGACCACATTGCCAGTAATGTAACTTTGTGTATTAAAATGAGCGTGTACACTAGCTATTGTCATCATAATTTCGATACCTTTCTTTCAGACGGGACCACTACACTAATACGTTATAGCCGAGTAACATTAGTCCTGAGATTGATTCAATTCGAAAAGGAATTACGAGGAATACGTCGCCGAAAGGGAACGCTTGGAACTACTCCCAATGAAATGCTAAACGTTAGTACAAGTTCTGCCTAGACTTATAGCTTGTCAGTGCTCTAAACGCAAACCTTCTCCTAATAGAGTTGATCAAAATTGAGATTGAGTAACATTTGCTTACACAAAATCTGCAAAAGCTACTCACGCCCAACCAGAATCTGTCTACACGGCTCTTTCGGTTTAAGAAATTCTATGGCAATGCATTTCTTAAACTTTTTGTGAGGCCTAAAATGGATTCGTTGGCTGCATGAACTGTATTTTTCAAAAGTTTTGAGAACTTAAGCCCATTTCAACGAGGCGTGTTCGGGGCAATTAGTTGTGGGCGACAAGTGCAAAGTTTAGAGAAGGCTTATTTACTAAGCATTTCTCAAGGAAGGCGACTTCATACCACTTGTTCTCAAGCATTTATAAAGTTCAGTCGCATGATAGTACGTTTCTGTATTTAGTTCTTATTAACCGAGCGGGAGGTACAGACCGAACGCAGTGAGGTCTATACCAGCGACCGAGGTCAAGATTCTCCCATACAGACCGACCTAGCTCGGTTAATAAGATGTTTATTATATGGCTGTGTCTTATATGCCAATTTTTTATATTCTTTGTACCTTTTTATTCTAGATGCCGGTCTAGACGGGAAAATCTAGACCGCTTTCAATATTGATTTCAGACAATCAAATTCGTGAATTCGGTAGTTCCCAGTCCTTGTGAGACACAGCCATATGATAAACTGCGATACAGACCATTTTTCCCTACAATATTATGATACAGTTATATTACCCAGCTGAGAGGAAAGAGAAAAGTAAATCTTTCTCCATAACTTATAGGTTTAATGAACTTTACAATCAATAAATAATACACTAACTTTTTCTTCTGATATTTTGCAGTAAACACCTCTTAGTTCCACACTCATACATTTAAACTGGAAATCAACATACGTTTTCAAACCAGAGTTCTTATTTTCCCTTTGCGTATCTCAACTTGAATATGTTTTTCATAGATAATTATAATATCAATTTCAGCAAGTAATAATGTCAGTTGAACCGTAGGCCAGGAGACTTGAATCTTCGCGAATTTTTTTGTGTGCCGTGTAGAACTGTAGGATGTTTGCTGGTGTCTTGGAATTTCCATGATAACAATTACATAACATTTAAATAAATGTCAAGGATGTATTCCCTGTTGTCCAGGGCGTAAATAGTTCAGAGGATCAGGAACTGAGAGCCTTTATGAAGTGAACAAGTCTTGTTTCCTTTCCTTGGAAGACCATCCTTCTTTAAAGCTATGTACATGTCATGAGCTGTATCTCTGTAGTACTTGTGAGAGGAGAACGTGTGCAAACCGTTGATTCCTTTAACGTGCTTGAAAATTGTGCTGTCTGTCTTGCTTTTCTGTGCGTAAAAGAAGCTTGTATAAGTTCAAATCCTTATTTTTCCGAACAAAAATAGTGTACTCATTTATATCCGTTTGAAAAAGCCAAATTTTGATTTTTCAGAGCTTCAGTGTTAAACAATAGAAATAATGGCGAGGCTTTCAAGAATAGATGCCCCAGACTTTATGGTTCATCCCTTAAAGTTCTATTTCAAAAAAAGTGAAACTGGGCTATTCAACAACAAAGAAGCTGACCGAAGCGTAATGAGAGAAAATGTGTCTGTTTCTGAGATTTATGTTGCTACGAAATTTTGGCATTTTGGCATCCATTTGTAAATCCCTCCCTCTAAAAATGAAAAGAAACCCCACCTGTCTAGCTTTTTTCAATTCCAAAATGATATCGGACTAAAACCATTTATGTGACCATGTACACATATCTAACTCTGTCGTTATCTATAGCAATCTCTGTAACCAACACCAGTTAAATTCTACCTAGTAAATACTCAAAAACCGAATGTTCTAGAAATTTTGTCAGAAACAATTGTTTTTTATATCATTATTTAATTTAATTTATTTTATTTACTTTTTTTTGTAGAAGGATCATTTGAAGCGTTACAATAAAACTATATGGCATAATACACAAATAAGGGTCAAATGCAGTACAATCTTACTCAGTTCTGCATAGTGTATATGAATAATATTAGTTATAGGTACAAAATTGATGTCAATTCCAAATCAAGTGCAAGTGCGTTCTTCATTTGACATTTCATCGTCTGCCAGCAGTGAACAACCGATGTCGTGTTCTTTTCCTTTTTCTAGCAGATGTCACGTTCTTCTCCTTTTTCTGGCAGAAAAGGGAAAAAAACACGACATCGAATAGTTTAAATATTTTGAACATGTTTGTCACCTTAGTAATGTTATATTGGTCTAGTAACAAACTAAAATAGTTGTTAGATAAAAATAGGGATCAGATGCCATAAAAAAAAAATCCTTTTGCTTTAAACATCAAAATGGCTTTTATTTCAACCAAGTGATTTTCTTGATTAGTGGAGCAGTGGTGAAACTTTATAAACTTTCTATTCCAAAGTTATGAAATGATTCGGTCAGCAGTATCAGTTTCAGTTTTGAACGGAATGAAACTTTTGTTAAACATAGCGAATTAACACAGTATAAAAAATTGTAAACTGACTTTAACCATCTTTAAATTATTCTGGAAACAAAAATTTCATTTAAATTTCATCTCGTTTAAATAGATTTAATTGAAAAATTTGTGAAATATTTTCAAAGCAATTTAACATGGAGAACTCGCTAACATCTAAGGATTTTTCACACGTCAAATTGGGACTTCTACGTGGAACTTAAAATATTTCCTAAATTGATGTCCTTTAACGAGAACTTTTTAGCAAGGGATTTTCCGCCTGAAGCTTCCTCTGTCTCTGAAGTCGGATGATCTGTTTTTGAGATTACTTAAGACGGGTAGGATTTCGCTCCCGTCAAACTGAGGTGTACATCGTTGAAAAAAAAATTAATGCATTTGGTTCCTTTCGGGTTTAGTCCTTATGAAGGAGCGGCTCTGTGACCACGCGAGATAATAAATCTATGGTATGTCTTAGTGTATCAAGTTATTCTGATATTTTCGTGCAATAAAATTTACAGTAATCATCTGAAGCAGATCGAGTCCTTGACCCTTACGTATTTTGTCTGTTATATTGGAAAATTGCTTGCATGAGCACACGCGTTTCGCTTATCAGTTCGGTTACCTTTAGCAAATATATTGTTCGCTATATATATTCTTAATTTCAAAAACAAAATCATGATATATAGTTCACTGCGCTGAAAGAAGAGTTAATATCGCGGCTTTTGTCTACCGGCAGTACCAATATTTATCAGTATGGAGGAAAGTGAGATGATTTACATTCAATTAAGGTTTTTTCGACCATAAAAACTTTGCTCTGAAAAATGATTATGTAGAAATTATTTTTGATCATCATTCTTACGACATAGCTAGTGAGAGACATTGGAACTTTTAAGAATTTATCTATCTTACTTTTCACCTTATCAGAAGAATTTTGACATTGAGAAAATGAATTAAATCATTTTCTGTCAAGTCATAATTGAAAACAAAATATCACAAAGAAGAGCACTAAAATGGGTGTGACAAGTTGTGTGACCTTAGGCCATATCTGAACAGAAAAACTCTAAAGTCTCATGTTTTAGTGTGCTGATGGCCACTCGATTCAAAGATGTTATCTGCAGGTTCAGCAGTAGAATTGTACAGCACAGGGGAAATTTAGAAATTATTCTCTGGATATCAAATACTCCCTGTGCATTCGATATAAAAAGATTATAAAATAAAGCAACCAATTATCAGACAAATAAAACGCCTCGTTATTTTTCCGCTCTTTAAGATTTTAGGCAGTTCAAGTTTCAAAAAGTATATTTCTTTTAACAAGCCTCCAAGCAGATACATATATTGTTTTAAAGATAATTGTCATTATTTTCGTTTTCCATCGTTATTACTTTCCATCTCGTGGCTAGTTTATGCCATGATATGTAAATCTAACTTAGCTGAAAGACCAGTCGTAGTTTTTTAAGTCGAAAGATGCAGCAGAAAGCAATCTCACATCTCAGATCCACGTTTCTATAGGTTGTAGACGAATTGTCTACCTGAGTTTGCTGTGACAGTGGCAAATGACTTCAATCACAAAAAATATTAAACAAAAACCAGCAATGGACCAAAGCCATCTCCTAGAAAGAGGCACTTAGACAGCATCAGCCATCTTTTTCTAAGTACTATTTCATTTCATGGTTCAGAACAGCAAACAATCAACTGAAAATGGACGAAATGCCCCGAACGAAGAGATCGAGGACATTCCAAAGAAACATGCTCTAAAAGTAGAAATGTTATTTCAGAGAGGAATTGTGAAATCTATGTAGTATTGTGAAAGTTACAGAATCCGATAAATTGTTATTCAAGGATCGCAACTTGCCAATTTCCAACCAAACGATCACTAATGACCTAATGCTTGGATTCCTTTCGGTTTCGAGACTACTTTCCTCTTAAAAATGGTCTTGTTGTGAGCTGTGCAAGTATTTTCACATCGTTACGAGCATTTCTTTGGTGATTAAACAGGGTTATTGAACGATCTCTACCAAGTAGTCCACTTTCAACATTAATATACCCTGATAAAAAGTGTGAGCCTTCTAAACTTTTCCGAGCCAGTGCAATTTGTGAGCAGTATTGAACTTTTCTTTGGAGCAATCATCGACAATGATTAAAATTATGACATGAAGAAGCTTCATTTCTGGTCTAATATAATTATGGTAAAGACCAAAGATTAGAAGAAGAGGTGGGTTGTGTTTCCTTTTTCTTTCCAGGAGCTAGCATACAGTAGTCGTACCAGAAAAGAAAAATACGCCCTTAGCTCAATGATTCCTGATTCTCTTTAGCTAGCTCGTCAGGACTGGTCAGTAATGGGCTGTGCTATGTGGCAGAATCCCTGAGACACTACCATACATTCCTCAAAGTACCCGCAGTGCAAGTTTAAAATTTACACGACTGTCAATGGGGCATTTGTTTCTTAAAAAATGTTTTCGAGAACCTCAATGTCTGCCCACAATAAATATCATAGCCTTGTCACATAAAAATCCCAAAAAGACTCCAAAACGTAAGTAATTTCATGGAAAGTTGAACAGTCTACAGAGAAAACTCGTTTAGTCCCCAGTTCAAGGTCTAATACTTCTATAAAAGTTATTAGACGCGAAATACTGACATTAGTGATTAATTAAGTAAAGTAGAGTATAATTATCAAATTGAAAAATGTATTTACCATTGAAAACAGTCGTCCATTGTTATCCATTGCCAGATATCGTTCTACAGTAGGGCTGTAAATGTGAACCAATCCTTTCCCAATGGACTGCAACTGCAAATTGACTGTAAACATTGTAAACGAGGTAAGAATATGAATTACGAGACTCATTTAACACATATAACAAAGGTAGTTGCGAAAACACAAAGTCATGTATTTTCAATTTAGGCTGGTATCAAGGCAGAAGCAGCTAAAGCACAAATTAGTTGTATATTTGTACACCGGCGCTTCTGTGCTGAAGAAATCACAGCTTAACCGAACGATTTTAAGCTGCCTAGGAAATTTGTAAAGCCATGCAATGTTTCTCTGTCAGCAACATGAAACCTAGGGCTTTGGTTACTTTCAGTCGAGTTTTTCTAGGGTTGTGTCTTTAACCCGTGGAAGTTGAGTTAGTCGAAGGATTACTCTTTATATTATGCTACAGCTTTGCTCGATTTGAAACAGTGCATCGCATAAAAAAATGCAAAATTTCCGCAAATTTTGAGCTCTTTTGCTGAACGCAGTCCGAATACTACCAACTGATTCAGTGATCTATAATATTCAGCCAAGAACTGCCAGTTTTCGGACATAACGAAATCGGACCGCCGCCATCTCTAATTTTATGATCAGCACAGTCAGACGCTCTTGTAACTCTATTAACACCAAGTTTCTCCTTTCTAAGTGTGGAATTTGAAAAAGAACTACTTTTCCAAAAACTAGTATTTCTATTGTCTACATTTACTTCGTCTGAAGTCATGAAATTCTCTTGAATTTTTGTTGTTTCTTTATTGTCCAATGGAATGCTTTATATCGACACGTGGGGCTTCAAAACAACTCAGTGGGCAAACCTTCGATCCTTTACCTGCTTAAGACAGAAGATACTTTGAAACAGATCTAGCTGTGAAGCAGCAGGATTTGCTTTCCTTCGAAATATTTGATGTAAGATGCAACAAATTCTACCGAATACAAACTCTGCAGACGGAAATAAGGGCTCGAATAGGTACTTCTGGAACTTTCTAATTTGTGTGAGTTATAAGTTCTATTGTAGCTTCTGACTTTTATTAATACAAAAAGCTTTTTATTATTTGAAAACCTAACGGATCATTTGCATAATGAATTGGTCTTTCTTTAAATGAAGCCCAGGCTACTTCCGCTGATTCATTATGATTTCTCAGCTTTTTAGTATCCATGAAACTAATCGTCTTATAAAAATTACTGGACGACAAAGCTGAATCAAGCTGAAGTGAGGTTAAACCATTAAAGGCTCGTATATCACGCTGCTTTAACAAGTTCGATTTCTCTGTAATAGATTTTGAAAAATCCTCAATAAAATGAAGGGTGATCGATGAGGCCTGGTTTGCGATACAACCAAACTCGTACCTATTAACTATCAATTATTTGGTTTTTCCAACTCAAAGACCTACCGGGTGCGAGTCCGCGGTAAAAGTAGCCTTGCACGTGCGATGTAAACCTCGTTCTCAAGCTTTTCTCCAGAGATGACAAAGAATAAAGATCCTAAGACTTGATTTTGTTTTACACGATTTATTTCACATTTGCAAATCGACAGTAAGATAAAGCCAAGTTCTCTTTCTCCGGAAAACGCTTGCCTAGACTGAGAGCAATGTTTTAAATTTTCCGTGATTACAAATTTTTCATGATCGTGACTTTGAGGAAAAGAAAGAGGTTCAACTTCGAAAAAAGCTTGACTGAATGTTGCCAGATGTACATGATTTTTAGGTTCCGAAATAAAAGCGGAAAATTGATGAATTGTTTTTAAAATGGGTGTAGATCTCGAAGCATTTGTCTTTTTATGCAAGATTTGCATTCCTGGGGGAATGTTAAAGAGCTATTTTCATGCGAATAACAACCAGGAGTATTTTGGTCAAAGGTTCCTCGTCTCCTCTCCCTCTCCTCGGAAAATTTCCTCTTTCAGTTCTTGTATTATTATTTGAGGAAGTAGGTTAACACATAGGAGAAAACTCTATAACGGAAGTACGTGAGTATGAATAACTTATCTGTGTGTCAAGAACTTAAAACATGATTCCTTATCAACCTTTCCGATCTCCATTTTATCTCGAATAGCTAAGGAATCATTTTAAATCTCCATTGACCATCATGTTTTCTTTCTGTGTAATTTTTTCCTGAAATGATATTCTAAATGGTCTTTATAATAACGTGACGATAGTAAAAGCTAATATAATTTTGTCTATTGGAGCGTACATTCAATAAGTCGTGGCTTCCCGAATAGAGCCAGAGTAAGGCCTCTCTCAAGCAGGTAATTTTTTGAGCACAAAATGCTTGCTTGGTAAAAAAAAAGTTGCGTTGAGCCATAATTATCATGGTCCACAATTTTGATCAAGATATTCAATCACACTTCTTCTACTGAAGCGTCAAATTACTGAATCAATCTTTTTCATCCGCCACAAAAACTCGAAATAATTATAATTTTGTGTGAATATCACTTATATTCTGCATTAAAAAAATTAAAGAACTTGTTGTGCTTGTTTTTTTATCCTTTGTTTCATAATGGAAAGCGTCAGTTTATTCTATTTCTCGCCGTTGTGTCAAAGATTTGTTATTTCTCACTTGTTCGGTTTTATCTTGGGAAAGTTTGTTTCGCATAATCAAGTTTGTTTCCACGAATCTTTTAGTTTCTTGTTCATCTAAGTATGGCTTTTTCTGTAGAATTTACTCCTAAAAATACGATATCTTCCCTGTCATCATAGTTAACTATGCTTTCATTCGTCTAAACTGCCTGAAAGTATCCCTACTTTTGGTAAAAGTGCAGCTCAATGATGCATAAGCTAGCATTTCGCACGTGTGCGCCAAAAATGACAAATCTGTTTCACTCTACCTTCATCACTGCTCTGCTCTTTTGTTCCACTTACGTTACCGTCATCTTGTAGTCGAAAGAACCAGTTATTTTTACTAAATAACTTGACTTGTGTTATGTTGCTACCCTCGTCTGTAATACCGGAATCTCTCAGGGAAAATATATTCAGGTTTATCTTGGCCGCAGACCATTGTACGGCTTTCAACTGCAGCAGTGCTGACTTTGTTAGGACCCACTCCTTGGTTTTCGCGCGACACGCCGTGATTTCGTTTATCTGTGCTTTGAGTACCTTCGCATCCATGGAAAATACGTCTTGCTCCAGAAACAGCGTCAGTTCAGACGTTTATCTAATAAGAATGAGCATTGCATCACTTTAACTTTCAGTTCAGGTTGGGTACGTTTGCGTTCGACTGGTAGGCTCCTTGACATAAAGTGGATGACGTTCATAGAGATACGCGTGAGTGGTGGGTACTTTGAAACACAATTGACTGTCTGCGACTTTGACTGCACTTTCATTAATTTAAATTTCTCTGATTGCATTCATAAGTGGGTTGACAACTTCTTCGCGATGTCATCAACTCCTAATTTTTAACAAAAAGTGAATCCTCGCTGTTCGTCATTTAAAACTGAGGACTGCTTTTAACGATTTGATTTTTTTTTTCAAATTCATTATCTACTTATTTCTTCGGAAGCATTTGAAAAATATGTTTTCTAAATGTGTAAGACTTACTCTTTGTATGGTGAAAAATCTTATTTATGCAATGATAGATGAGGTTGAGAATTTCAATTAAAATCAACAGAGATCTTTTTAACAGCTCGAGTTTTACTTGATAACGAATTCTTAATTCAAATTCATAAAATGAAATTAAATTGATGACATTCTTTTGAAGCTGTCAACTTCTGTTCCAATGTCTATTTTACTGATATCCGTTCTCATCTACAATATATCAATAACCACGAAACGCACTTAAGTAAAACTATTACTATTGTACGGCAATATGGAGCAATTACCACGTTTACCTTTACCAAACGCTTTCAAAAAAATTATTTCTTCTATTGGCAATACCTGACCCAAGGCTCTTAACGAAAAAAATTAATTCCTGGGAAATTAATTGTCGACGTGAATATGTAAGTTGTGGTGACGTTTATAAGTGCTTGAATCTGAACACGTTATTCCGGACGGGACCATTTGACTGAAAGTCAATCTTTTCTTAATCATCACGTACTGTTTGAGTGTGAGGAAATGCACGCTCCGGCATCTACTCGTAAAAAAAAATACGAAAACGAATCAAAGAAGAGGCTATAGAAAAGCTCCTTCTAGCCGCATTATACTAAATTCCAACTGGATATTTTTTTAGGAGGAGTACGGTTCTCTTTTATGCTCAGCTATAACCCGAAACAAATAACACAGCAGTTGCAGATTATTTTCTATTGCTACAAAAAGTAAAGAGGTTACACAAATCCATTTGAAAAGACTCCCTGTAAATATGATCAGTCGAAGAAAAAACGATAAGTATTAGTTTCAGTCGGTGATTTTAATAAAGATTAAAGAAGTCACCCATTCCTGATAAATTAAACTGAAAGAGAAGCTTAGACTGTCAAAATCAACCATGAACACTCGGAATCTAAAGTGATATCTGATCGACTTTTATTTGGTTAGCATTGCTTTAATGACATGTGGAAATTTTAAGGATTTCCAGGTGAACATGTAAATGACCTTTTGTTTCAATACTTTATTTTTGTTTAGCTCAGTATTATGCGAAACGGCGTCGAACTTCTTACAAGTGTTGTTCTTAAATAAATAAAAAAAGCATGAAATGACTTACTATTCACTGAATGGTTTTAGTATATTAGCATTTTCAGTTTTCAGACGTATATTTTTCCATCAGCAGTGATAACTTAGGACAGAAACTGGCCTTTCCAATTAGATATGATTCCATAGGGTCAACAAAGGTTGTCAACACTCGACAGAATACTAAAATGATGAATGGCTTACCACAGTGAGAACTGCCCTTTGTTACCATCGACCAAAATATATTACAAAAAGAAATTGTCTTTTTTGAGGCGTAAAAATTTAAAATAAGGGTTGAATTGAATCTGACGAACATTCAATACGGCAACATGAACAAATATCGACAATTCGTTTTCGGTAAACAGTAAATTTTTTGGTCCGTGGAGTCCGGCCGATCAAGTTTGGCTGGATTGGAGTAAAAAACCCCATGACGTCGCTCTGTCGATTGGGTGCAACAACATTCTGAAGTTTATCCCTTAAATTGCCCGATTGCTGAACTGATTTCTCGATGCCCTTTAATCTCGCAAAAAAACTTATTAGTTTTATAGTTGCAAATTGTCGTAGACAATAATAAATATCTCACCGAGTGTGATTGAAAATTGTTTAGGGTGAACTCATGCAGGCAAAATCATTCAATATTTCTTTCTTCTTTCTTTCAAATAATTATTCTCCTTCCGTTTTTGTTTTTCCTTTTTCTTTTTCTTTCATCTATCCTCTTACATTAAAGGTAGAGATAAGACTTAGTAATTGGGATAAAGCTAACTAGCATTACACTTCAAAAGATTTCGCCGGCAACAAACTCTCCCACCAAGATGACATGTGATTAGTGTCCGACTCATAGAAATACTTATTGCGCGGTATGTTTTTTGCATCAGAAAGGAACTATATCTTATTGTCAAATTGCAGCCGGCTGTTATTTTTTGTCGCTGTTGTTGCTTTTTTTGTCAACTGGATTAGATAGGATATTGCAAAACAACTCCAATTTTCTGCCAGCCAATTACACAGGGCGTTTTGCTGGATCAAATGCTGCAATTCTCAGACTTGAATAGGAAATTAAGCTTATTAATAAGAGGTTTTTCTTTAACTTCATAACGCAAATTTTTGATTAGAGCGCGGTCAATTGATTTTGCCTTCTCGGTTGACTTTGGGGGTGAAAAAAGAAAAAATTAACACTTAACTATTCCAATAATATTTTATTTTTTGTTTTTCTTTTGTTATGAACTTTTCTTACGGAATACGGAGGAAAATTCGCCCATGCTAATCAGCTTGAGGTTTCTTAAACTATTTTGTGTGGTGATAAACATTTAAAGGCAATATTCTTTACATCTCGAGAGTTCAGGTTTACCATTTTGACTTCAAGAAGACAGAAATACATAAAACCTAAAACTGTTGAACTTGTGTGTAAAGATATTCATTCTGAAGAAAAATCAAACATTATTCGCACCGATTGCATTTTAACAGGACAATGGACCCATATTGAAAATAGAAAAAAAATCATGAAATAAGAAAAAAAAAAGACGAATAGAATCAAACCAAAGAGGTGTATTTCATCCAAAAATTTAGCCAAGTTCAAATTTGCTCACCTTTTGTTCAGAGTTAATAAAAGCTCCCGCAGTTAAGAAGCTCTCCTTATTCAGTCAACGCCGATGCATGAGCAACTGAAGGCGTTGCTTTTCATGCGAAGATTAAATATGACATATCCATTTTTGCAGGGAAGATAACAACTTAGTTCTTATTCCAATGAGAAGCCGCCACCCCCGAAGTCTGGAAAATCAGCAGACGGCAACATAAAAACATGGAGAGGGTGTTTTGACTTACTGTCTTCCTTAATTGAAGGAGAAAACCCATACTGCACTTAATACGATTGGTTGGTTTTAATAGCTCAACTACGGCACTCGTCCATTTCATATGACTTTTGCACCAAAACAAATTGATTTCTGATAGCTATGGCCAAAATTGGGCAGAATTACCGCCTCGTTCATGTTTTTTCTTTTTCTTTCTTTTTTTTTTTATGCCTTTAGACAAAGGTAAGAAAGGACTGCTCTAATGAGAAAATTCCCTCATCGACTAAATCAAGACCAGTTATACTTCGATTTGTAGTTTTGAGTGTCTGGATTAAAAGTATTACGTCGTTTCTAAAATCCGCACACGCTGAAAATTTCAGATTTAGGATTCAAACAGAAAACATCTTTATTGCAATCTGATGCATTTTTCATGAGACAACTGACAGAAAAGAAAAGAATTTATTTAGTGTTATTGCCGGTAACCAAAATATATTTGACAATCTTTGCAGGAGACTTTAATCGCATTAAAAATGAATCAGTTCAGGTTTAAAATTTCTGTTTTTTCCTGTATTCTTTAATCTCTGTTTCGATGTTTACAGTGGCTAAACCGCATGGTTCCGTAGAATACAATCATTCTCAGATATTTTAGGAGATGATGTTCTCAACATTGATTATAGCTAGTGATATTTTTGGCCAAACTGAGCTGCTAGTGTTGAAATAGAAGGCAGAAAAGAAAACATCAGTGAAAATAGCTCATTTGAATTTTTTTTCAACTGTTGAAACTGACACAGAAAACCTAAGTGCGCGAAAGACGGAAAATTTCAAGTTCCAACAGGTTACTTTCTGTCTTTTCTAGAAATTGAGAGATAAGGATGATAGAGACCGTGTAGAAAAGCTGATTGTCTACTGATTATTTGGAAAAAAGATACGAACATTTCTAGACCACCCGAACTCTGACTGGCATGCCTAATCAATGCTGCATCCACCTGACCAATCAGAAATCTCGATACTACATCCACAATACTACATCCACCTGACCAATCAGAAATCTAGATACTAACTCTACTAGATTAACCCAATGGCACACAGAGGAATAAGGTATGTAACAAGCCAGCTGAAGTATTCCTACCCAGGAGAGGGTACACAGGTTTGCTAATCGACGGAATATGTCTCAAAAAAACTTATAATTATAGATATCGGATCTTGTGGGTAGATTATTTTGTGTATTCAATAGTTCCAAAAATACCGTGGATAGCGCAGATGGGCTGAGAATTTTTTTCTTGATTCCGGATTCTGTTGATTTTGGACCTGGGACTGTGAATCCCATCTCATGAATTCAAACACAAACAATGGCAGACAATGTCTCTACTATCAAAAGATAAATATACAGTTATATGTAGTTATTGTATACTAAGGAGAGCCTTTAATTATTCGCACTGATATGAATTGAACAAATCACCTGCTTTCTAAACAGAGAATCAAGTTGGTAGACTGGATCCTACCACTGAAATACGTCTCATTCCACAAAGAACGCTCTTAGACCAATGACTTATTCCTTGTGTCGTTCTTGAATGTATTATGAAGATTGAACAAGTCGGTGAGAGTACTATGGGATAACTGCAATGGTTTTGCTTTCATGGTTGGTAGACCGGTCTGCTGCAGTCAATGAATCGAACTCAAAACAAAACCAAACTAGACTTGGTCACACGCGCGCATTCTTGTTCTAGCTGTTCAGGCGGTCTGCTTGTTATTTCCTCGAGTGTCACTTTTAATTGACTCTTTGTGATCTCTTTCTTTGTCACTGCCTTGATTTTGGTTTTGCAACGCGCATTCGAAAGACGCTCTTATATTTGCCATACTATTTGTGAAAATATGTTGTTGTTGCGGCTGTTTAAGGTGGAATTGTCAGGGAGGCCACATGAAATGCTGAAGGGAAGGTAACCTTGTGATGGACTGGCGTCCGATTCCGGGGGGAGTGGTAATACTCCTAGTCACTTCATGCCATAGAAAACAGGATAAGCTCTGGCTGGAGTAGAGACTTTATACACCCTCCTCCCATTGTTACAAAGCGTTGGCAGAAAAGTACGTTTAGCTTTCCTTGAAAATTCTAATAGTGATAGAGTTGACATTTTCTTGTAAATTTAAAAAGCTTTTATTCCTTGTTTTTTTGCCTTGTTGCTTTACATTGTATAAATAAAATGTACACACTCAAAATATTGAATAACTTACAATCAATACATAAAACATTAATTTCACACTTCGTGACGCTAATCAAAAATAAATGGCTCTATATTTAAATAATACTGATAAATGCATCCATAAATGTATCCTTACTGTAAGGAATCAGATCAGAAACCACTTTTAAAATGGCTTAAGAGTTATTCCGAAGAATTTTATAGAATTTTAGAATTTGCACTCTTCAAAAATTTTACATTGCTTTTAGGCTACGACTGGCAACATTTTTTTTAGTCTTGCGGGGCATCAAACTCCGAAAAATAGCCAACTTTACGTCCCACTTGATGGAAATTAAATTCGAGAATTTAGATTATTCTTGAAAATTCCGAGTCGTTAAGTGACTTTTAGAACTCAAAGTACGGTGATCAACAGCTGTCTCCTGTGTATATGATGAATTTTACTTTATTTTGACTGACTCTGGTGTCTTTTCCTTTCCGGATTTTTCCATTGCGTCCAAGGGATATGAATGTGTCGTACAGCGAGGTTCTGTAGTACTTTGCGGACGCAAAGGTATGAAATGAAGTGCTTTCCATTGTTAGCTTAAACACTGTCTCATCATTGGTTGAGTTCTATCAAACAGAAAGATGGTGAATTAGAGCTAAATCGCTTAACGTAACGTAACATAACCTTACTCCATGGCAAGTCAAGTCATCATCCATGGCAACTCACAACATATCACATTATATCACGCTGCATCCCACAAAAAAACAACTCAAGATCCGTTACAACTCATTATCTGCTACATTTACGTGTCACAAATTGCTTATCAAAATTTTGAAATTTAGGTCTTTGAAAAATTTTCCCCTTTTAAATATCACGATAAGGAAAGGTAATGAAAATATCTGGCATCACCGATTTGGCGATCGTTGACTTAAAAATTCATGATAAAGTGCCCTTGCCCACTCCCTCATGAAAGGATAGTGGAAAGCTTTTATCCTTCATCAAAGTAGCACATTTTTCATCTTTTTTTTAATTTCAGGGTATTTTAATCATCTAACTTGATTTTTTTCGAAAGAATTTTTTAGTATGGTTTACAAAGAAGGTGGAAGTGCCGGATAAAGTCGCCAATTATGAGTTGAATCCTTTCACTTACCGTTGAATAAATATTGCTTTGACTGCTCATTGCAACATAGCGACCGGTTTCGATTCCTTTAATTCGCTGAAATCCACTTCCCATTGGTTCAAGCTCTAGGTTGGCTAAAAGAGAAAAGATTAAAACTATTAATGATAGCTAGAGGTTAGAGGTTTCTTGCAAGCAATCAGAAGTTTGACAAGAGAGTGTTTGCATTTTGACATTCAAGATTTTTCTTGAATATTCTTGACATGGCACTGTTTTGTAAATGCCCCCAACATTGCATACAATTTTGTAGTATAACCAGATGAACTAAAGTAAAAAATGGTCACTTTTAAAACTAATTCTTTTGAGGTTACTGCTTCTTTTGCGTTTTTTTTTTT